GTCCCCCCAAAACCAAATAATGTGATTCTCAGGGCTGGCAGGGTGTTCCAGGAAAGGGAACAATTGATACAAAGTTCAGGCATGTGTTGAATGTTCTAAGGTCAAACCTGTGGGGTTTACACACACACACACACACACACACACACACACACACACACACACACCAATTTGCTGGTTCCTCCTGGGTGTCTTACAGACTAATTAAATTTTGATACTGTCTCATTGGAGTTAGTGTCTGATCCCCCAGATCCAGGACTCTGTCCCACAAGACTCTTCCCTCCCCCGCTTTAAACATGAATCACAAGTCCCAGGCTGACTATAAACTAAATTAGGGGTTTCCATGACCACCACCACCCCCAGGACAGGTAATCTGCTAGAGCAGTTTCCGAGGAACTCAGGAGAACAATTTGCTTACTAGTGTCAGTTTATTTGAAAGGCTGGAACTCAGGAAATGCTGATGGGAGAGATGCAGAGGACAGGCTGTATGGGAAAGGGTACCATCCCAGCACCTCATGAACCTGGCCGCCAGACTGAACACCACAGTCTAGGGGGACTAGGGAGACCCCATTACATAGAAAGAGAATTGCCGAAATCACTGGCTGTTGGCCTCCAGCCCCTCTTCCTTTCCTTCCTCAGAGGTTGGAGGTCAGGGATGGGTCTGAAAGTTCTAACCTTCTCTTCCTGCTTTTGTTTGGAGCCACACCCAGTGGTGCTCAGGGATCACTCCTGGGGAGGCCCAGGGGACCATATGGGATGCTGGGGATCAAACCTAGCCGAGCACATGCAAAGCAAATGCCCTACTGTCTCTCTGGCCCCTAATCCTGCTTTTCTGATCACTGCCTCCATTCTGACGCCACTGAGAGGCCCCAGCCACTGTCATTTTATTAACACACACAGATTCCTGTCATCTCATTACATACACAGATACCCATAATCTCATTAGCATACACTGATACCCATCATCCATTGGCATGCATATGCTTTTTCTTTTTAATTAGTTTTTAATTGAATCACATGGGAAGCACAATTCCAAAGTTGTTCATGATTGGGTTTCAGTCATACAATGTTCCAACACCCGTCCCTTCACCAGAGTACATATCCCACCACCAGTGTCCCCAGTTTCCCTCTCCAGCCTGTCTCCATGGCAGGCACTTTTCTTCTTTTTTCCCCCCTGTGAATGCAGATACTCTTACCACGGGATGAAGATCTGGTGTTAGAGTCCCACCTCTCCAGGGTCACTCCCCACATGGGGACACTGCATGCTCAGTCAGCATCGTGGCTGCCAAGGGCCACTCCGGGGAGGGAGCTGCACCCCTGCTGGCTTCCACAGCCTGTCCTGCCCTCACTCCTCCAGAAACATTGGGATCCAGTTGTACTCACAGTGCTGGGATAGCCCTATCTGTCCCTGGGGGAAGCCCCTTACCTTGCCTTCCAGTGAGTGACACTGTGTGTGCCTGGCCACATGGAAACGGGGGGGGGGGGGCTCTGTGGGAGCCCGCAGTTGTCCCAGCAGCTGGGGGGCTGGGCTTGGAGCTGGTGGGCTCTGGGGAGCAGGAGACCTGGCCTGAATGCCCATTGTGGGCCGACGTGTCCTGGAATTTGGGATCTTAGTTTGTGGCCCTCGGCCCGGCCTTTTGCAGATTTGTTTTTTTGTGCTGAGGGCCACAGCAGTAGTCCAGTGAGGTGGCCACTTACTTGCACACAATAACCCTGGGTTTGATTCCCCCGGCATCCCATATGATCCCCAGAGCATCGCCAGGAGCGACTTCTGTGCACAAAGCCAGCAGTAAGCCCTGAGCATTGCTGGGCTTACCCTCCTCCGCCCCCCACCCCAACAACAACAACAAAAAAGTGTGGCTTCTGGGAGTCCAGAGTGGCCCTGAGGTGCCCTGCACTGACCAGGGCTGTTGACCAGCAGCCTTCAGGGTATTTGGTGGTTTCCCTTTGTCTTCAGGAAAGCTGGGCTGCCAGGAGTAGTCCCCGCACATTGGGCTCTGCATGCAGACAGGGGAATTCAAGCCCTCTGAGCTGTTTAAAAAACACCTCTTCAGGAAAGGGTTTAGACACACTTGGCCAAAGGCAAATCCCATTAGCCATTGTCTGACTAATCCCGGCTGTCAGGGAACGTGGTGTTCTATGCAGAGGGCCTTAGAGCCCCTTCCCCCCTCCCCCTCCTCCTCTCTATCACCCCCAGCCTTACGGGGAGGCCAAGTGGACAGAGCGCGGCCAGTGCAGGGCTCTGGGCCAGGCCTGCTGTGGCAGACTGTGGGGTGGCCTTCACAGTCCCTGACCTGTTCATCTTCTCTTTCTCCTGGCCTTTTGCTTTTTTTCTCGTCCTTCTGTGGTTTCTTGTCTTCTTCCCTTTCCCGCCCATTCCCCCTGCTTTCCCTTTCATTGCCTTCTTCCCTGCCTCTCCCAAAGAGACAGGAGGGACAGGAGGCAGGATCCGCACCAGGGAGAAACAGAACACCGTGTTTCGCCATCGGCTGTCGCCGTGAGTTTGTGGTTTTGTCGGCACTTCTCAGGATTTGTCCCCAGGGCCTGGGGAGGACTAGCCAGGCCCCCTCGGGACCTTCTGAGCGGCTCTGGCATTTGCTTTGGTCTTGTATTGAGAGCATAAAGGGAACAAGGGGGAGGCTGTGTGACAGCGACACTCACCCGCGTGGCCACTGCCGAGAACTGACACTTTGCGCTTCAGGTATTTGAGAGACACACAGACAAAGGGAGGCCCTGCAGAGTCTTCTCCTCTGGTGCTGTGTCCCCTCCCAGGGGAACCTCAACGTGTCCCACACGCTGTTTCCTGTTTGTACTGCTGGAGCTGGGCTGCTGGCGAGTGACTATGAATAATGCATGGTGGGGTAAGGGCCTCCCGCAAATTGCTTTCCTCACCTCCTGGGAGGGTTCAGGATTGACCCCCGTCTGATATTTCTGTCTGGTTCATTTCTTTCTGGCGCTGAAGTTTTTTATGCTATAACTGTGCCTCAGTTTCTCTGTTTGATGGCCCGTGGGTTCTTGGTCTTCTGGCTTTTTTTTTGTATCATAGGAACGTGGTCTCTGCTTCTGCACCTGAGGCCCGAACCATGCAAAACATTCAGGCTGCTCACCCGGGTCCAAACCGCCCCTTGGCCTCTGGGCGGGGGGGTCCTCGGGATTCTGTCACCTAGACCCAGTTGGCTGCCTTCTTCCTTTCCTCCTTCCTGTTCTCATCCAGGAAAGGGGGCCCCCCTGGAAGGGGAGGCACAGGAGGCTGATTCAGAGGATGGTGGTCGGCAGAGTTGTGGATGGCGATCATTTGGCACACTAACCCCTCCCACCCCCCAACGACCCCGGCCCTTTGGTTTTCTGGAGTCTTATTTCATGCTAATCCATTGTTTCCTCACGCCCTGACAGAAAACCGAGCTACACATACATCTACTCCGACCTACATTCCTTCCTCACGAGCGCAACTGTTTTCACTTTGTGAGTGCCTGCTGGTCTCTGTCCACACGCACATCCTCACCCCAGGCTGTCACCGAGTGCTCGGCTGCTGTCTGTTGAACCCCGCCCTGCCTCCGCCTGGGGCAGGGGCCCTCCTGCTCCTTCCCTGGCCCTGCCAGACCCCCAGCTTTTGGTTTTCTAGGGGGCAGAGAGAAGCTGTCCCTGAAAGGAATGGGCTGGGCCCCCCTCTATGCCATCTGGTCCTCACTGGCCCCAGATCTGATTTCTCTCGCCTTCTCTGTCCCCCCCCCCCAGGCTGTCGGCATCCTGGGTCTGGGGGGCCCTCTGTAGCCCCGCGTGATAACTGCCACTTCCGGAACACCCCAGCTCCTGCCAACCTCTGTTCAAAGAACTTGAGCAAGTGGTGGGAAGGCTGGCTGGCCTGTCCTACGCGTGGCCTTGGTCACCCTGACATGGCCTGGGTCTCTGGGAGGTGCCAATGCCTGAAACAGCCCAGGGTAGCCACTGTGAGCTCTGAGGTGGGCAGCCCCCGGGGTGAGGGGCATTTCTCTCTGGTTCTGCCTCTGCCCCCGGCCACTCCCTCTGAGGGGTGTGAAGGTGATAGATGCGCTTCCGCTTCTCCCGTTGGAGGCGGGCCACTGCAGGCTGCCAAGCTGGCTGGAGCACGTAACACAACCCCAGGGTTGTTCTGTGGTGTCACCCGCACCCACCGGGGAGTAGCAGCAGAGCAGAGTAGGAATGAGCTGCTTTGGGTACCGAAGTGCCTGTCACGGGCGTGGTCGGCTCTGGAGGCGAGGCCTCTGAGTGTAGAGGGCAGGGCCCAGGCAGGGGCGCGGTGCGGGCTGGGGGAACTGCAGTGGGGAGCACAGTGCAGCGAGCAGCGAGGTGGGAGGCTCAGAGCGGCCGCGGCTCTGAGATTCCATCTCAGGCTCTGTGGTTGGGGCTGTGAGTTGTGGGGGACTTGATGTGCGTTTCTTGCCCCAGCCCAGGGCTTGACACCCACAGTGTCCTCGGCCTGCTCCCCCCGAGACCTCTCCCAGCTGGGCCAGCAGTGCCAGGACCCCCGCCACTGTCCTGTGCTCCTCCTCCAGCCCCTGCCCACATGCCTTGTCACATGTATGCAGAGCTCCATGGCCCCGGTGCTGCGCTGTGGGGCTGTGGTGAGCCTGAGACAAGGGCACCAGCAGGTTTTTGCAGCCTGTGCCCTGCCCCGGGGGGGGGGGGGGGGCTCTTTTTTTTTTTTTTTTTGCTTTTTAGGTCACACCCAGCGATGCACAGGGGTTACTCCTGGCTCATGCACTCAGGAATTACTTCTGACAGTACTCAGGGGACCATATGGGATGCTGGGAGTCGAATCCGGGTCGGCCACGTGGAAGGCAAACACCCTATCTGCTGTGCTGTCACTCAGCCTCCCTACCCAGGGGTCTCTCTAGGGTGCTTTACCCACCACTGCTGGAGGCCAGACCCACGCGCCCCGTTGTCAGGCACTGCTACCTGGCTCTCAGTGCTCTCTCTCTCTCTCTCTCTCTCTCTCTCTCTCTCTCTCTCTCTTTCTCTCGCAGGCATCCCCACCCTCATCGTGCTGGACCCACAGGGGGAGGTGATCACGCGGCAGGGCCGGGTGGAGGTGCTCAACGACGAGGACTGCCGCGAGTTCCCCTGGCACCCCAAGCCCGTGCTGGAGCTCTCCGACTCCAACGCCGCGCAGCTCAACGAGGGCCCCTGCCTCGTCCTCTTCGTAGGTAGGACTGGGCGGGCCAGGGGGCAGGGGAGTCTGGGCCTGTGCTCTTTGGGCTTATGGCTCTTCGTGGCTAGTCCTGGGAGCTGCTCCTGCTGCTGGTGTGTGTGTGTGTGTGTGTGTGTGTGTGTGTGTGTGTGTGTGTGTGTGTGCTGGCTTTTCCCCATGGGCTCTCACCAGCTGGCTTTTGTTGGAGGGAGGAGGTGTCAGGTGCTGAGGTGCTGGGGTGAGGCTCTCTACAAGGCTTCAGCTGTGCTCTGGTAACAGCCCAGGGCTGTGTCAGGCTCCATCCGTGCCCACGTGCCCCTTACAGCTTCCCAGTATCTTTTTTTTTTCTTCCCGTTCTTGCCCAGTATCTCTCCTGGGCCTGTGAGAAGGCCCCTGTCCTGCTGATGGGCAGCAGCACCCCAAGGTCCTACAACCCACCCAGCACTTGGAGGCTCAGATCCCAGCCGGGGCATTGTCTGTCCCATCATTCTCAGGGAGTGGGGGGCATGCAGCATCCTGCTTTCTGGGAGTTGGTACAGGGCCCAATAGGCAAATTCACCCACATGTGTGTATGTGGAGGGGGGGGGTCGCGGTGCCCACAACCAGAGCCTCGCGTGCAGGTGGGTGCTTGTCTCCTGAGCCCTTGTTCCCAGCTCCGAGAGAGAATGTTTGCCAGGCCTGTGCTGGGAGGACTGGGCCCGCAGGAGTGTTGCCACTGCAGGGCCCCAGGGTGTCACAGAACTACCCAGAGTTTTGGTGCCCCCACACCCCAGAGTGTGGCCCTCTGGGTGCTGCACTCCCCTTGCCACCTGCCTTGGGGGCAACAGGAGTGAGCCCCGGGCCCTGGGGTGCAGCTGCCCCAAGTGGAGGCGAGAGGCCCCCCTCAGAGAGCTGAAGCCCGAGTTCAGTTCAGCCCTTCCAAGGCCAGACCAGCTGTGGCCTCAGGGTGCCGCCCTAGCTGCAGGAACCAGAGATGGCAGCTCATGGCATCTTGGTTTGTGACTGAGAGAGAAGCTGCCAGCCGCCTCGGGTTGAAGGGAGCTTGGCTGGGGTACAGTTGTGGCACATGGGGCAAAAGGGGGCAGAGCTGACACACAGTGGACAGACACTGCCCCCAGGCACCAAAGCTGCTGTCGGGTGTGTGCTGGGGCTCTCTGGGGGCACCCCATGGACCCGCCTACGGTGCCTCATCTTTCCCTCCCGCAGATTCCGAGGATGATGGTGAGTCGGAGGCAGCCAAGCAGCTGATCCAGCCCATAGCTGAGAAGATCATCGCCAAGTACAAAGCCAAAGAGGAGGAGGCCCCGCTCCTGTTCTTCGTGGCTGGGGAGGTAAGTGCTCCCATGAGTGCTGCTGCCACAGGCCTTCACTGGGAGGTGTGAAGGGGCCCCGTTGCTTCCGTCAGATCCACGTCAGATCCACGGAGAGTCCCGGGAGTGACCCCGTGGGGGCGTGCAAGCATAGCATATGTGAAGCCCCTGGTGCCAAAAAGGACAGGCCTGCAGGAGGGGCACAGGGGCCTCGCAGACCCTGTCTCACTAGCATCTGGTCATAAGTTCAAATCCCGGGTGTCTCACATGTGGCCAGTGTGATCCCAGCAGTTCTGCTGCCTGCCGTCAGACAGAGAGAGCTCCCGGTGTGTGAGAAAGGGGTGTGCTCCCCGGTGGGCTCCATTGCCAGGGGTGTTGTCCCCCTGGCTACCACAGCAAGGGCTGGAGTGCCTCCCTTGCAGGAGGAAGCCGGGGAGTCCAGGGGGTGCGTGTTTAGGGGGGGATGTCTCCCCAAGGATTTTCAGACTCAGATCCTCCTGCTGCCTGCACTCAGTCCCTGTTTGGCACAGACAACAGCACACTTGCTGCTACTGGGGACATGCTCAGGATGACGGGGAGGGCACACTCTGTGACCTACCAGCCAGACTGCAAAAGGGCGTCTAAGCTGGGCATGCCTGGTCATCCTTTGTCCCGTCTCTGGATCTACTTGCCTCCGGGAAAGTGGCTTGAAAGCCATCGGGGATGGCCCCTGATGTCTCCGGCTGGATGGTGCGAGCACTGCAGCTCCTGAAGTCCACTGTGGGTGGGGCTGGTTCTGGTTAAAAAATATTCTGGGGTTGAATATTTTCAACCTGGGCCCCTGATGTGCCCCTGTGGGGCAGCAGATACAGAAGTGATGGCAAAGCCAGCAGAGACAGAGAACATCCCAACCTCACACACAACTGCCCAGGTGGCTCCCGGCATCCCCTGTGGCCCTGGAGCCCCGCCAGGAGTGAGCCCTGAGGCCAGAGCCAAGCTCAGGTGTCTTTCGCCCAGTCCTCTGACTAGGATGGGGCAGAGAAAGGGATCTGGGAGCCTGTCCCTGGCTCCATAGGGCCCGGCCGGGCCTGCAGCCCCTGAGATGCTGCCCCAGGAGAGTGGGGTGGGCGCTGCTTCTTGGCAGGCTTCAGTACCACTGGGACGGAGCCCCTGAACGCTGATGGGCTCTCTCTCTTCCCCCCTTCACCCCCAGGACGACATGACCGACTCCCTGCGGGACTACACCAACCTGCCCGAGGCCGCGCCGCTGCTCACCATCCTGGACATGTCCGCCCGGGCCAAGTACGTGATGGACGTGGAGGAGATCACGCCCGCCGTCGTGGAGGCCTTTGTGAATGACTTCCTAGCAGAGAAGCTCAAACCGGAGCCCATCTAGGGCTGCTGCAGGCGCTATTTAAAACTGTCTCCTCCCCCTCTTCCTCCTCCTCTTCCTCCTCTCTCCCCGTCCCTCCTCCCTGGGCCTTTCCAGCGGGTCCTAAATCACACAACCCAAGTGTCCGACTTCTCTGCGGTGCCTTGTTCTCTGCATTAACTCCTCAGCTAGCACCCCCCTGGGCGGCGCCCCTTCTGAGCAGCAGAAGAACCCCCATATCTGGAGACTCTGCTTGGGACTCGGGGGGCTGCCGGAATCGGGCCCGCGTTGCTCTGTCACGCCTTGGTGCTCTGGCTCTGCCTCTGGTGTGGAGAGCCGGGGAAGGGCTGAGACTGCCTCTCCTCGGCCTCCCAGGTGACGGGGTCTGGCTTGGCCGGAGCAGCCGGTCCCCAGGTGCCACATCTCTAGGGAAGTGTGTGCCCTTCTCGGAGAAGAAAGGGTCTTGGGGCACGGTGCAGCTGGGAACAGTTTCCTGAGCTCCTGCCACGTGATAAGTTTCTCATCCCTTTCACCTCCTTTTCTTCCTTGCTCATGACCTCCTCCAAGTTTCTGCCTACTCATACGAATAGCCCCTACGGCCTTGGAATTTGTGTTAATAAATTCTTCCTTCTGATCCTCCCCCCAAGAAGAGGCACTCAACCCAATTCTTAGAGGTGTTCCACCTGCCAGCACTGGACTTGGAAACCTGGAGCCCCGCCCAGGTTTCTGCACCCATCTTTGGTACCCAGGTTGTCCTTCTTTTCAAAAGAGACCAGGAAAAGAGCAGCAGCCTGGCTGTCCCCAGCACCTGCAGAGAGGGGTGAGGGCACTGGCCCTCATCTACTCCGCCCAGCCCGGGGATGGAGGGTTGCCTCCTGGGCAGCTGGTTCCAAAAGGCAGCATCAATCCGATCCTCGATCCTCGATCCTCGACTGGGTGAGAGGGCTCGGCCTCGGGGCTTGCACAGTCTCTGCCTACCAGTCAGGCATCCAGGTTTTACAACCACTCGAGGCCTCGCCCACGGCCTCTTACAGGGCTCCACAACCCCCTGCCCCCCACACCCCCGTTAGCTGTTGACCCCATTGCTCCTTGCTGAATTGGATGCTGACTTGTGGTTCGGCGGTTCAAGCCTGTTGTTACTCGGTGCCACCAGCCGGAACCCTGAGCAGCCACCCAGGGAGAAATAAAGTGGCCCCTGGAGGCGCCCAGCAAGCATACTTTGCCTTTTCTGTCCTCCATCACAGAAATTCGTTTCGCTCCTGGTGCGGAGCTGTGGGTGGCTTTTGCGACGTCTGGTGGCCTCTCTTCCTCCCCCCCAGCCCCCCTCAGCCCCGCCTACAGCCACGTACAGAGGTCCCTGCAGACCATGTGACTGGGAACAGGACCGCCTGCAAGGGCTCCCCTTCCGTCGGCAAACCTCACCCGCTCCTAGGGCTTCTCTGGGGAGCCTGCAGGGTTCCCCTTGGGGTAGGGGAGGCAGAAAAGTAAGATGGTCTCCTAGCAGTCAATTTTCAAACCCCCAAAACAGCCCAGTAAAGTCACTGTGAGTTGCACTAGCCCCGAGATCAGGTCCTCCATGATCCTCAGTGGCTAGCCCAGGGTAGAACGATCAGCTAGCCTCAGCTCTCAACCAACTCTCCATGGATCCTGGACCCTCCTACCCTCTTTCATCTTGTTTGTTTTTGGGCCACACCCAGTAGTGCTCAGGGATCACTCCGGTGGTCTCCGGGAACCATATGGGGAGCTGGGGATCAAACAACCCCCAGTTGGTTCTGTGCAAGGCAAGTGCCCTACCCACTGTACTATCTCTCCAGCCGCCCTTTTAGAATTGAGGTTGTAGTTAACCGTGAAGAAAGGTGGGGCTGGAGTGATAGTACAGCAGGTAGGATGCTTGTGCCCTATATGGTCCCCCCAGCAAGCCCTGAGCACCACTGGGTGTCCTCACACACAAAAGAAACCCATAAAGACAAAAACAGTGCAGAAGGGTTCCTAGAATGGGGCCCCAACCTGCGTTTCTCACCCTGTTCCTACACGGCCCTTTCTGACACTTCCTTCCTATGTGCCCCTCATCCTCCCAGCTGGACCACAGTTGGTTTTTTTTTTCTTTTTGGGGTCACACCTGGTGATTTACAGGGGTTACTCCTGGCGTTGCTCCGGGGACCATATGGGATGCTGGGAATTGAACCTGGGTCAGCCACGTGCAAGGCAAACGCCCTACCGGCTATGCTATTGCTCCAGCCCCAGGGACCCCAGTTTTGTGCCTCAGTCTCCCCCATTTACACGATTTTCCCTGGGGCCAGTTGAGAATCACTGCTTTAGAGGTGTACAGGCAACCCCCAGAGAGTGGAGTCCAGTCCAGGCCAGCGCAGTAAAGTGAGGGACACGGTGAAGGATCCAGCTGGCAGCACCTGGGAAAGCAGGTCGAGTCCTGTTGTGGGCGAGTGAGCTGCAGCCGCGGGGGCCCTGTGACCCAGGACAGAGGGAGCACCACGGGCGGAAGCAGAGGTAGCGCCCAGGGGCTGGCTGGATGCAGGCGCCCATGGACCTTCCATCTGTGGGAAACCCCCACACCTGCGGGGCGCGGTCAAGCCAGCTGGGCTTGTGTAGTGGGCAAGCACTGGGGGGCCGAGGCGGGATCAAAGCCTGCCCCGGTGGTGCCAGAGACCACAGGTTTCTGATGCCGACCAAGTGGGTGGCTTCTTAATTTCCACCAAGCGGCTCCCAAAGACCGTAAAGTTCTCTTGCTAATTGGAAGCAGGCTGAAACACCAGCTGTGACACACGCAGGGGCTCCCGGGCAGCCCCCCGCGGATGTCCAGGAGCAACTGTGCCCATCCTTGCCGTGGAGATGGGGTTTTCTTAGCTGTCCAGCAGGAAGGGCGCGGAGGAGGGGGTGCTGCGTGTCCGGGGGAGGGCCACCTGTCCAGCGGCCGCGTGCTCGGCTTCAGCGCAACTTCAGGTGGTAATTTTCAGCCAGACTTTGTTTTCCCGTTGCCTAATTAAAGACACACAAAAGCTGTTTTCCTGCTGCCTCTTTCCCGGGCAGCGGGCGGCTTGGGTGACGCCTGCCAGACCTGTGCTGGGGACCTGGACCGGGGTCCGGGCCAGCGCGCGCCCGCTCTCCGCGCGCAGCCCAGCAGTGCCCTCTGCAGGCCAGCCGGGGTACTGCCGAAGGCCCTGGCGGACCCGGAGCTCGGCGCTCTGGTGGGCTCGCGGGTAATCAGAAGCCTTCATGTGGAGGTTAGCGCTCAGCCCCACACCCCACTCTGCTGTGGGCAACAGGGACAAGAGCACCCCCCCTGCTCTACTTCAAGCAGACGACTCCAGAAAATTCTGTGGGGGAACAAGTTGTCTGAGTGAGGGGTGAAGCTTATTCCAGGAAATGAAAGGTTTGCAAGCAGGAACATTTCACGTTGGATCTGCGTATGGCTGGGATTTTATCACAGTGAGGGAGATGGAGCCCATGCTTGGTTCTTGACAGGTGAGGGGCTGGAGCGATAGCACAGCGGGTAGGGCATTTGCCTTGCACGCGGCCAACTCGGGTTCGATTCCTAGCATCCCATATGGTCACTCGAGCACCGCCAGGAGTAATTCCTGAGTGCATGAGCCAGGAGTTATCCCTGGGCATTGCCGGGTGTGACACAAAAAGAAAAAAATCTTGACAGGTGAGCAAATGAAGATACACAGAACTACGCCCTTGGGGTGCTGGGAATACTTGCACCCAAGTGGGGACATGAGATGTCAAACTCAGGAAGGGCCTGTCCTGAGGGCTGTCAGGCCCTTTAAATAATGTGTTGGGGTGGGGGGGCTGAAACCATAGTACAGAAGGAAATGTGCTGGACTTGCACACGGCCAACCCAGGTTTGGTCCCCAGCATCCTATATGGTCCCCTGAGCCCCGCCAGGAGTAATTCCTGAGTGCAGAGCCAGGAGTAAGCCCTGCGTACTACCTGGAGCGACCCTCCCAGCAAGGTAGTTCCTGAGTACTGCCAGGAATGACCCCCTCAAATCTGTTTGGGGTGAGAGAGGTCATTTGTACATGGCTGACCCAAGTTCAGTCCCTGAGCAGAGAGCCAGGAGTAAACCCAGAGCACCACCAGATGTGGCCCCAATCCCTCCAAATCCTTACTTACAAATAATATGCACCCACTCACAGAAGTCCCTCTCCTCGGCCTGCAGATCCGTGGACAGCTCGAAGGAGGTCTGGCACTCGGGTCATGTTGGTATGTCCGGGAAGGACAAAAGTATCACCCCATGAATTCCAGCTAGGATAGGAAGCAAGATCTTAGTGTTCTGATTTGTTTTTGTCCTGAGGCCACACCCAGCTGTGTTCAGGACTTACTCCTGGTTCTGTGCTCAGGGATCACTCCTGGCAGGGCTTGGGAGGAGTGTCAGGGGTGAATCCCCGGCTGGCTGCATGTGAAGCAAGCACTGTACTGTCTCTCTCCAGCCCCAGGAACAAGATCTCAACACCCAGGCTACAAAAAAAGCTTCCTTTGGACACCCGAGGCTACGAAGCCTCCAGCTACTGAGCAATGCTCTGCATGACCCCGTCTCCCCTCAGGCACAAGGAGGCAGGCAGCAGGCCAGAGCTGCGATCCCCTCCTGTGCAGGGGACAGCCCCACCTTGCCCTTCCAACAAGAGAGGCCTCAACAGACCTTGAGCTCTTCCCTAGAAAATAAGGGTGCAGGCCAGAGAGACAGTGCAGCAGGTAGAGCACTTGCATTGCTAACTCACCCTCCACCCCCAGCACCCTATATGGTTCCCCAGGAGTGATCCCTGAGAACTGGGCCAGGGGTTTGCCCTGATCACTGCTGGGTGTGAAAAAAAAATTTAAAAAACGGTGCTTGGAACAAACTGATAAAATTCTGACTTCAGTCATCTGTGGCCTGGGGCAGCTTGCTGAGATACTCAGTGGACTCAGCTGCTCAACAGAACATGGCAGGTCAGCAGGAGGCAACCTAGAGCAAAGTCTGTTAGAGTAAGTCAGCATGACCAGGAACTTGTCTTTTAATGACCCCTGCATGTCAGCAGGTGTTTTAATACTGAGCCACATCCCAAACTTCTGACTCTCTTAAAGGATGAGCAGTCAGGTGGCTGGAGAGATAGTCCCGGGATGAAGGCACTTAACCTGCATGAAGTCCCTTAAGAGCTAGGAGTGACCCTGCCACTAGGAGCACTGCCGGGTGTGACTCAAATCCTCCACCCCCTCAAAAGAAGGAAGAAAGGAAGGGACAGAAAGAAAAAGGAAGGACTGAAGAAGGAAGAGGGGGGAGGGAGAGAGAGGGGGGAGCCAACGAGGTCCCAGATATAAACGCAGCCTGGCCAAGGTGGGTGCCAGGCCCTGCTGCACAGCTGGTTCTCAGCAGAGCCACAGAACCTCAGCCGAGACCCTGCTCCTAGGATCTTGGACATGACAGGATGGTGATGGAAGCTAGAAGCAGCTCAGCTTGGATGGCAGTGACAGCTGGTGCTGCAGGAGCCTGGGTAGCATGGGCTGGCCTTCGGACCCGAGGCTAGCAGTTGAGGGAAGAGAGGAGGGGATTTGTGTGTGTGTGTGGGGGGGGAGGGTCTGAACTTCAGCGCCCACCCCAGCAGCTCTCCCAGGTGGTGCTTTCTGCACTGATGCTTCTTCCTGTCCAGGTTCCTCCTGAGCTTCAGATTCTACCAGGAAGTTACAACCTGGATGGACCCCTAATCTCAGTACACACCAGCTCTTTGAGGCAGGCACTTTTGGAATTCTCTTTTCAGCAACTTAAATCCTGAATTTCACCCCTTCCTGCAGGGGGCAGGGGAATGTGACTCGTGGCTGCCACCTTGTGGCCAAAACCACATTCCAGCTGGGTTCCAGCCTCACCAAGACTCTGGGAGCCCCCTGCCCTCCTTCCTGCAGTGTTGGGATCTTATTCCTGATTCCCGGGTAGAAGTTGACAGAAGTGATGGCTGTCTCAAAACTGAGACCTCCAGACAGACATGACATCTTCCCCTCTAGTCATTTTTGTGGGGGTGGGGTTTGGGGGCTGAACCTGGGTGGGTCGCGTCTAAGAGATCTCAAGCCCTGTACTGTGTATCTCTTCAGGTAACCCTCACAACTTGTAGTCTTTTTTAAAAAAGGAAAAAAACTGCCTTTCCTCTCTGCCCAATTATACTCACAAATAGGTGAAAAGCATCGTAACTTCCAAGTGAGTGGGATATACATTTTCTTCTTATATCCAACTGGAGCTGGCTGGAGCGATAGTAAGGGCTGGGGCGATAGCACAGCGGGTAGGGCGTCTGCCTTGCATGCAGCCAACATGGCCGACCCGAGTTCGATTCCTCCGCCCCTCTCGGAGAGCCCGGCAAGCTACCGAGAGTATTCATATGCCAGACACAGTAACAACAAAGTCTACAATGGAGGGCCTTTATCCAACTTGACAAGTCTTAGAATTCCAGGCAAGGTGCATACCGGTTTGCATTGCTTTGTTTCTCCAAACTAGGGGATGCGGTATAGAGTTTGTTATACTTTCACTGATTTTAATTTTGGAACAAAAATCAGCAGGGAGAAGCCTGGATCAAAACTGTCTGGGGCTGGGGCGGGAGACATCATACAGTAAGTAGGGCGCTTGCCTTGCACACGGCATACCCGGGTTTCATCCCAACTTCCCACATGGTTCACCAAACACCACCGGGAGTAACCCTGAGCATTGCCAGGTATGGCCCGCTCTGGGGCAAGAGCTAGTTCAACAGCTGACGTACTTCACTTGAGGGAAGCCCAGGGGCGGGATCAGAGAGAAAGCTCATCAGGAGCCAAATGCTGGCTTTGAGTGCAGGTCTGGGTTGGGTCCCCAGCACCATGCAGTCTCCTGGGCATCACTGAGCATCACAGCACCGCTGTGTGGCCCCCAAATCAAACCAAAACAATGGCCTGGAGGGAGGGGCGTGTCTGGGTGGTTAAGGGCATGCCTTGCACCCCGGGTCCTGGGTTCCTTCCCGCCACCACCCAGGAACAGGCTGGGGACAGGCACTTCCCTCCGAGCGGCTCCTGGGGGGCTTCCAAGTCCATGCAGTGTTTTCCCCTGTCCCAGAGCTCACCTGCTGGGGTGACAGAAAGACGGCATCTAAGCTCAGCAGCCCCAGACCTACGCACCCTCCCTTCGAAAGGCGACACAGGAAGGAAGATCTCAAGAACAGCTTGGGCAAACACGTGTGGGGTCCCAGGACAGACCCAGAGTGGGGTGCCAGTAATGGTCCCAGCGACCAGCTTTGGCGGGGGCAGAGCCACGTAGACTATTCTTGCCAAAGCCCCTCCCCTCGAGTCTGCTGGTGCTGGGCATGAATCTGGGTCTCAAAATGTGAAGCACAATTCTCTCCAAAGCCAAGCCACATCCTTGGCAGCTCCATGCATGAGTCTTTGGTGTTCTTGAGATGGAGCTTCCCAAGAGAGCCGAGGCAGTGGGCTGGGAAGAGGCGGGGGGGCCTCGGTGTCTCCCCGCTTGCAGTAACTCGCCGAACTTCATAGATACTTGCTGCTCCAGGGCTCCCAAGGAACCCAGCCAGGGTGGGAACCACCACCACCCCGCAGGGCTGAGAAGCCCAGGCCCCAGGATCAACCCCACTCCATGACTGCAAAAGCACCACTTGAAGCGAGTCCCATACAGAGTCCCTCCCACCCTCTTCCCACGGTGCAGTTCCTCAGACAGATTTCCAGACCGCCTTCAGTCCTGAAGCACCCCACCTGGTACTGGGGCGGAAGGGCAGCTCCACCTGTGCTCCGTGGGAACTGAGAACCGAGTTCCACTCAGAGTATGCGCCGAGGACCTCAAGCTTCCCCCTCTGCACCCATCACCTTTGAGCCTTCCAAGGCAGTTATTTATGCAGGCGGGGGATTAAAATAACCAAGTCACTACATTAAACCCAAAGCGTTAAAGGATGAATAACAGGAAGCTAGTAAAAAAGATTTTACTGGCAGTTGCAGGGTTAAACAAACATTTGGGGAGTTGGGGGGGGGGGGGGGGGAGGAAGAACACTAGGGATTGATCCCAGGGCCTCTAAGGCAGTGCTCTGCCAGACTGAGTTTTAAACACCATTCCCTTCTTTCCTGCATAGAGAATCCTCAAAAAGGGACCTGCAAGGCAAGTCACCAATTTCACCAGAAAGATGGCAGTTACTGTGTTCTGTAAAACAGGCCTCAATGAATTACTGCGGGTGACAGTCACGTGGAGAGCGAGCAACCAAGCAACTGCCACCTCTGAGAGTGTCACCAACGGGAGCACAAGGCCAAAGACGCAATTATGGGGATGGAGACCACTGCCCATGCCAAGCCCTAACCAGCAAACGGAAGCTGCAGGGCCACGTGTCAGTCCATCTGCCACTGAGCAGAGAGCAGCAGCGAGTGTCTGGGCTGGGCCCACAGGCAGCACTCGGGACACCGCCCACCCTCCCTGGGACAACACCTTTGGGGACTCGGTGGACACAAACTGCTCCCCAGAACTTTTTTTTTTTGCTTTTTGGCTCACACCCGGCAAGGCACAGGGGTTACTCCTGGCTCTGCACTCAGGAATCACTCCTGGCGGTGCTCAGGGGACCATATGGGATGCTGGGAATCGAACCCGGGTCGGCTGCATTCTAGGCAAACACCCTACCCGCTGTGCTATCACTCCAGCCCCTCCCCAGCACTTTTTTAAAAACATTCATTCATCTTGAGTTATATGGTAACACTTATGTTATCACCAAAAGTATATAAATGTGTGTGTGTGTGTGTGTGTAAAAATTACTGGAGAAGGGTGCCAGAGAATATGGGGTGAAGGCATTTGCCCTGCAACTGCTGGCCTTGGTCAAGACTCCAGGCACAACATAAAGTCTCCAAGCGCCCCCAGGGTTCACTTTTGAGCAACAGAGCCAGGAAAGGCCCTCAGGATGCTAAAATGTCTCTAAAACAAACCAAAATACTGAGGGCTGGAGTGACAGTACAGAGGCCTGGGCATCTACCTTGAAGCCAACCAGGTCTCTATGTCCCCAGAGCCCCTCCATGGAGTGATCCCTGAGTGCAGAGCCATGAATAAGCCCTGAACACCACCAGAGGTGGCCCCAAAACAAAACCAAAACCAAAGAACCACCAAAAAGTTGGAGGTGAATGATCTTAGGAAAAACAGAATTTTTAACCTTCCTTATTTTTTTGAGGATGAGCAGAAATTCATAAAAACTGAGTTCTTCAATACCAAGGGCATCCATCACACTGTTCATTGTTGCCTGCTGTGGCTGGGGGCCACAGTACCCGCCTCGCCTGACAAGAACTTGCAGAGCAGGGTCTGGAGACAGCCGGCTAGGGTGCCCCTCCTAGGCCACTCCTGTCCCTGCCTGAGTGCACGGCCTTGGCCCGCCACTGCCGCCTCCCTTCAAACAGCAAGATGCTTGCCGCCATGGCAGAGTTGAGGCTGTCCACGCCAGGCACGACAGGAATGAGCAGCCGCCTGCCCCCGGTGCTCGCGGCCAGCTGCAGGGACTCCAGGCTCACCCCGTGGGTCTCCCCACCTATCACCACCGCTGCGGGGGCCTCCGTCCAGTCCAAGTCGTAACTCTGCACCTCGAGTTCTGGGAGCCAGCCTTCACTGGCTTCTGGTTCTCCGTCTTCCTCCTCCTCATACTTGTGACGCTTCATGAGCTGGTGGCTGGACACCCAGCCGGGGTCGCTGGCGGAAGCAGACTTCTGGGCCTGGGCATGAAGGCCACAGTTGTCAGCTACGAAGACCCTGGTGTCAGGGGGCAGGTAGCCGGGCAGCGACTCCCAATCCAGGTTGTTGATGACAGGCACCTGGAAATGCGCACCCATACCTGCCCGCAGCACTTTGGGCTCCCAGGCGTCAACACAACCTAGAAAAGACAAGACAGGAGTATTACACACCTTTTCAACAAAGCGTGCTCCAGCGTGGCTTTCTCAGAGATGTGTGAGTCCGCCGGGATGGTGGCACCCCACAGAGGGCTGGGGGGATTACTCCCTGCGAGTGCAGAGAGAGAGCAGAGGAAGTTTCCAGGCCTGTGTGTCAGGCAGCAGCCAGAGGAGGCAAAGTGAGTCTCCAACCCAAGGAGCACATGGCAGATTGGACCTGGTCAATATTTAAACAAGTGACTACAACAGCAACACTGACTTAAAACATGCCTCAACAGGGGAACAGAAAACCCTCAGGCAAAAGGAGGCGACCCTGCAGTCCAAGAACTGAAGGTGAAGTGATCTGGCCTGGGACTGGGAGAGGAGGAGCACGGGGAGAGGAGATGGGAGGCAGGCAAGGACCAATTTTAAGGATGCTGGGGGGTGGAGGGGCTGCAAGTTTGGGATCGTCCCCAGGGACAAGAGAGTGCCACTAAAGGATTTCAAGCAAAGCAGGGCTCGTGCTTTCGAAATGCCACTGGCTTTGATATTGAATCTGCATCGAGGAGGGAAGATGCTAGGGACCGGGCAGTTACAGCGATCTGGGAGGTGGTGAGGACCCCATCAGCCGCGCCATTCACAGAAGTCCACTCACAACACAGGAGAGCAAGAGACACTTTTATCCATGAAAGGACCTCAGTTTGAAACCCGGAGCACTGCCCAAAGCAGCACCACTGGGTGTGACGCCAAAACACAAAGTTCTTTTATGAAGAGTCACCTGCAAAAGCCACCTGCACGAGCTGACAGAGGACCCCTCCCTTTCTCAGGCTGGCGAGACAGCAGGGCAGGTCCCTCATAGCACCCCACCTTCCCAACACGTCAGCACAAGTCTCCTCATCAGACTGCACAGACGGCTCCTCGGGCCGAGCGCAGGCTTTACACCCGGGTTCCCAAGTTCAACCCCTACCACATGGTGCCCTGAGCACCACCGGTGACCCTCAGCACTGGAGGGAACTGAAGTGGGAGGTGAGCAGGGGGTGCTGGGGCAAGAAAAAGTACAGAAGTGGGGCCCAGACCATGAGGAGTACCATCTACTGTGACCCCTTCCACCTGGTGGGGCACAAGGGACAAGAGAACATTCCTCATCCTCACATCCCCCATTATGGCCCCATGTTCCCCACGGCCGCTCCCAGTGGGTGTCAGGAAGAGAAGCAGCTTAGACGACACAGGCACACTTTCTGAACCACACCGGGTTCTAAGCACGCAACCATGGAGCGGGGAAGCAGGGTGCCAATGGTGGAACCCCAACAGCATTGCTAGGGAAGACGTTGGCAGAGAAATGCACCCCAACAGGAATGACAGGGAGGAACGGAAAGGTGCAATTTGGGCAAGACTCTTGGGGGTCCCATCACTTCCCTCACCATCAACAGCAGCTGGGGTGCTGCGGGGCCGTCCCGCCCACCTGCCCAGTACCCCGACTTTCAGGGAGGTCTGTTTACACCCACGACTGCTGATCCCATCTCTGATGAGGAGACAGAAAGGTAACAAGGCATGCATGCATGTGCGTGGGTTAAGGGGCTTTCTGTCCCACCCTCAGGCTAAGGGAAATGCATCATGACTCATCACCACCCTGTTGACATTATTCCTTCCAAACATTCAGAATGTCAAGAGTTAGAACAGTCCCACGTGTCCAACAATTTGGGAATTCAGGATCATCTAGATTTTCCCGGTGTGTGTACGGGGGTGGGAGGAAATACACCTACTGGTACTCAAGGTTTACTCCTGGTTCTGTGCTCACTTCTGGCTCAAGGTACCAAATAGAGACTGAACTTGGGTTGGCCACATGCAAGGCAAGTGCCTTACCCGCTGTGCTATTACTCAGGCCCCATCTTCAGAAGACTTTTTGTTTGTTTCAAGGCCACACCCGGCAGTGCTCAGGGATCATTCCTGGCTGGGTTCCGAGGATCATATAGGGTGCTGGGGATCAAACCTGGGCCAATCATCTATAAGGCAAGCACCCTACCTGTCTACTATTGCTCCCTCACAGGGCCTTTATTTTTTTTCAAAATGATCTTGAATTGGAACTGAAGCAATAGTACAGTGGGTAGGGCATTGCCTTACATGCAGCTAACCCAGGTTCTATCCTCGGGGACCATAAAAATCCTTTGGTCTCCCAAGCTCAGCCAGGAATTACCCCTGAGCGCAGAACCAGGAATTAGGCCTAAGCACAGCCGTGTGCCCATCCCCGTCCTCTGCCAAATCATCAACCTTTTTGTGGTGCTGGGGATGGAACCCAGGGCATCACACTTCAAGGTAAGTGCTCTACTGCTGAGCCACATCCTGGCCCAGCGTCAGTAGTTACTGGGCGCCCAGCACTGTGCATCCCACAGACTCTCCAAATAGCCCTAACTGCATGGTACTAGGCCTACTTTATAGACAGAACATCACTCACAGACAGATAAGAAGGGCCAGCTCCAAACTTCCAGTCTTGGTTTGTCTGCCCAGGGAGCCAGACTTAAGAAAACTGCCCCGAGCACGTACTCACTAGCTCGCTTACCTTTGGTGAGTAAGACCTTACAACAGCCAGCCCCAGCAGCGGATCTGAGAGCTGTCCCCAGGTTCCCAGGGTCACGGAGATTGTCACAGATCAACAACAAAGGCAGTGACTGGTGAAGCTGAGTCTCTGGAAATTTCATCTTAGTAGGATCCGGCTTGGCAAAAACCCCTAAGAGAACAGGGTGGGTGATTAACTTGCATGGCATGAGCCTGGCCAATAATGACTTGTCATCACTCTGTTTATGTTATCTATGGGGGGCCCCCAGGGCAACACCCGGCAGTGCTCAGACTATGTGGTACCATGAATCAAATATGCACTTCGAATGCACAGCAGACAGGCATTCTAGCACACTGAGCACCCTCCTGAGCCGTGATTTTTTTTTCAGGGCCACACCTGGTGGAAATTCCCAGCTGTTAAGTGTCACTCCAGGGGGTGATGCAGTGCAGAGCCAAGGACTGAAAAAAGTTCAGTCTATTGAAGTCTCCCTCTGGCCCTCTTTCTGCTTTTTGCAATGGGAGTCTGGCGGTGGGGGGGCGGGGGGGGGGGAAGGGCCACACCCAGCAGAGCTTGGGTAACTGTATCAGCACTACCAGACCCTGAACTGTGTCCATAACATGAAGGCAAGTTCCCTAACCCCTGTAACTCCAGCACTCTTCTCCATTTGTTGTTGTTTGGGCCACACCCAGCTGTGCTCAAGGCTTACTCCGGGTGAAGTTCCGGGGACCATATGTGGTGCTGGAGATTGAACGTGCACTGGCCGCATGTGAAGCAAGCACCCTACCTGCTGTACTATCACTCCAGTCCCCTTTTTGTTCTTGATTACTTAAATGATACACACACATTGGATTCCACACACCTGGCAGTGCTCAGGATTCATGTGGTACTAATTCTGAACCTAGGGCTCCCTCCCATATGCAATCACACTCAAGACCAGCTACAAGAATGAGGGAACTAAGGAGCATCACCAGGGTCACTCTAGAGCACAAAAGCAGAGGTGGCAACTGAACACCACAGGGCACAGAGTGTAGCGCAAGCCCTCTCCTGATGAAGAAACAGAGGTTTGCCACCTCCCTTCCCTTGGTTGTTGCGGTGGTGCCCAGCAGGGTCACACTCTGCCCCATATGTCCATAGTGGTGCTTCAGTAGGGTACCTGCACTTAGCTGCTGTGAGTGGGACATTCACTCGCTGCAGCCCACAGGCCCAGAATGCAGAACCACAGGAATGGCTCAAGTGGACAGCAGCAGGGATTGTACCCCAAGCCCCAGGCTTGCACAGCAGGTGCTTTTAGACACTGAACAATCTCCTGGCCCCAGGCAGAATTTTTGTGGAAGCAGAGCGCTAAATCTTTGGTAACTATTTTTTTAAAATTTTGTTTTGTTGGGGGGCGACATCAGGTGGTCCTCAGGGCTTACTCCTGGCTCTGAGCTCAGAAATCATTCCTGGTGGGATTCGGGAGACCATACGAGGTGAGGGGGACCCAAGCTGGCTGCATCCAAGGCAAGCACTTTTCCCACTCTACTACTGCTCTGGCCTCAGTAACCACTTAGAAATATTTTAGTTTGACATTAAGTTGAAGAAATAACCTCAAAAATAAAAGGTGTGGGCTGGGGCTGGAGTCCATGCTTTACATGCAGTTGTGGGTCTGATCCCCAGCCGCACTGAAGAGCCCTCCAAGCACCAAGCCAAGTATGCGTATATGGCCTGAGGAATAGCAGTTATTCCCAGAGACTGTAAAGTACAAAACACAAATGTTGGTATAAAATGACTTTGATTTCTCCTGAAAGTACCATTAAGACACATGAAGTTAACAAACTCTTTTTTTTTTCTTTTTGGGTCACACCCAGCGATGCACAGGGGTAACTCCTGGCTCTACACTCAGGAATTACTCCTGGTGGTGCTCAGGGGACCACATGGGATGCTGAGATGAGAACCCGGGTTGGCCGTGTACAAGGCAAACGCCCTACTTGCTGTGCTATCGCTCCAGCCCCAACAAACTATCTTAAAAACAGCCCAGATAGGGGGCCATGGGATGGTTCAGTGGCGAAAAGTGCCCGTCTTACAAGTTAGACTTCGAGAGCCACCCACAGGTGCAAATCCCAGTGGCTCTACCCCCAGAATGGAGCCTGCTGTGAGCATTTCAACAGGCACACCCATCACTGCAGCAAAGGAAAGGGAAGGAAAGGGGTTGAGCGGGGAACAAGCATGAAAAATCAAAGGCAGCAACAGTAGTCTTGGATACGACACAAGTTCAAATCTCCGTGGTCCCTGCTGTCTGTTTCCTCTGGCAGAACTGATTTCAGCCATACCGCGGCTAGGTGTGTGTAAGCACTCCAAGGTGTGTATAAGCCCCAGCAAGCCTAGCAAAACAATGTGCAAGTACCAAGGTTAGGGAGTAAGACCTCCAGCAAACAACGGTGTGACTCTTGGCATGACTTATTTGCCTCAACCAAAAGTGGCTCCCAGCAAGCACATGTGTAAGCGCTTGAGTCTAAAGGAGCAGAAGCTCCACTTGACACTGAGGTTGCATGGGCATCATTACAACAGTGGCAAAGGGGGATTAGGATACAAAAAATTCAAACACTGTGGGTCAGACATACAGTACAGATGGGAGGGTATTTGCCTTGCACACGGCTGACCAGGGTTTGATCCCCAGCATCCCATTTGGTCTCCTGAGCCCCATCAGTCCCAACCAGCACAGCTGTGGCCCACAAACAAAAAAATACGACTACAGGGCTTAAGGTACTTGTCTTTCACATGGCTGACCCCGATTTGATCCCAGGTACTGAATGAGGTCCCCTGAGCATCATGTGGAGTGATCCCTGACCACAGAGCCAGGAACACGCCCTTGAGCACTTCTGGGTGTAGTAACCCAAACAGTGAAGAAAAAACTGCTTTGCTGGGCTGGAGTGATAGTACAAAGGAAAGGGTGCTTGCCTCGCACACCTGGGTCTGATTCCCAGAACCAAATATGGTTCCCTGAGCACACCAGGAGGAACCCCTGAGCAGAGCCAGGAGTAAACCCCGAGACTCCAGCAACGGGGCCCCACCCCAAACTGCCCTACATCTCAACTGCTCATGACACACCATGTAACCACTGACCCATTATTCCTTGTGGTGTTACTAGGTCCGACCAATCCTTGATATCCTCGAACTTCACCTTAACGAGGCTGACACCTTTCAGCTTGTCAAGAGGCAGCTCCTTGATGTATTCCAGCCGACTAAAGAAGAAAACCTGCGGCATAGCGCCGGCTCGGAGAGCATCGGCGATCAATCTGCGGCCTTCCAGCAGAATCTTGCCTTGCTTTTCCCGAAACGATCGGGATTTAACTATTGTCATGGCGCTGCTGTGGGTGGAAGCAGAAAGGCACGTAAATGCCAACGTACTTGTTTCGGGAAACACACCCACCAGCGAGACTCAAAAGGAACTTCACAGAAACCAATTCCAAGGGAGAATCCCATTCTGCCTTCCCTTGCACAATTAAAAACGTGGTGGTTGTACTGAACTATGGTGCTGAACTCATTCACCCAGCGTGGAAAGGTCGAGAGGGAATGACGCGGGGGCGGGGGTAGCTTCCGGTATGATCCCCGGGATGAGGCGGAGGGTTTCACTCTTCACGCTTAAAAAAAGATTTCCCCGGGGCTGGAGCGATAGCACAGCGGGTAGGGCATTTGCCTTGCACGCAGCCAACAGAACCAACACAGGTTCGATTCCCAGCACCCCATATGGTCCCCTGAGCACCGCCAGGAGTGATTCCTGAGTGCATGAGCCAGGAGTAGCCCCTGAGCATCGCCGGGTGTGACCCAAAACGCAAAAAAAAAAAAAAAAAATTTCCCGGGGATTGCTTTTTCTTTTCCTTCCCCGTTTCTTTTTTCCTGAAAAGGGGGAGGTAAATCAAATGCGCCTAGGAACCTCCGTCCCCCCAGCCCCCCAAAGAGGGAGGACTAGGAATTCCCGTTAAGCCTCAGGTCCACGTCACCTCAGCCGCTTGTCCCCCGGGGCTGCCTTATCATAGCGAAGCCCCGACTCTTCCCAGGTGCGGGGAGCCTGGGGCGTGGGCTCGGGCGGCGGCGGCGGCCTCCGCTCCCGGGGGCTGGCCTCGACCGCCGCCTTCCGGGGCAGCTTCCCAGGAGCGGGCTTCCGCTCCTCCACTCGTCCGTCTGGAAAGGTCACTCTCACGGGCCTCCGCCGCAGGGCCCGGACCCAGCGCCGCGCACCGAGCTCCCAGCTCTGGCGGCTCGGCAGGAACGGCCGCGCGGCCCAGCGCACGCCTCTGCCCAGCGCCGCCATCTTCCCCTCCTCCCCGGGGCGCGTCAGCGGGGCGAGACGGCGCCGGCTAGTGACGTCACGGCCGGGGCGCGCGCGCGCGGGGTGGGCGGGGCGGACGGGGCGGACGGGACGGGGCGGGGCGGTGCTGCGGGGTCGCGCGTCATGGCTGCTCGCCGAGCGCTGCACTTCGTGTTCAAAGTGGGAAACCGCTTCCAGACGGCGCGCTTCTACCGTGATGTGCTGGGCATGAAGGTGCCGGCGGGGCCGGGCGGGGCTGGCGCGCGAGGGGCCGGCGGAGCGGGGGCCGCGCTGGGCGGCTGCCGGCCGTGCGGCCGTCCAGGCTCTTCCCCAGGACCAGTTCCCGCACGGGCGCTTCCAGCCTGCTGGGAAGGGCGAGAACGGGAAGCAAAGTTTGTCTAGCCTGGCTCGGAGCCTCTCCGCGTAGTTAGTTATTTTTACTCTTTTTCGGGTGTTTTTGAGCCCCTCAGGAACCAGTCCCGGCGGGGTGCCGGGAACCGAACCCTGGTCGGTCGCGGGCACGGCGCGGGCCCTCCCCGCCCCCGGAGACTCCGTGTAGGGATCGGCGGGATTTCAGGGCCTGCAGTCGCGCGCGAGGCGGCGGGATGGGCTCTCGCCGCGCGTGGGCTGCGCCTCGGACGCCCCGTCGAGCCCCTCCCCTAGCCCGCCCGAAGTGGCTCCTGAGCCCACTCCCAGGAGTAAGCCCTGAGGGCCTCCCGATGCAGCCCCCGCGCAGGAATCAGCGTGTTCACAGGCAGGGCTGGCGTGGGTGGTCCTTTGGGCACCAGCCTCGGTGGGCGAACGCTCGGATTCTCTCCCCTACATGCAGGTCTAAGTACCACCTTAGCAGGCCAGGCTCTTCAGTGCCCAGACGCGGCGTCTCAACTACTGAGAACCTGCAATCGGCTAATCAGGGCTTTCCACTCAAGAGTGCTGTTTGCCCTACATAGTGCAAAAGTCATGGGTTGCAGGGGAGTGGCCCGGATTTATCAGTCTTTTTTTTTTTTTAAGTGTTGTACTTTGAGGACGAAGAGGACTCTGACCCTGGTATCTCTTCTCAGTTAAAGCTCCTGGTCTAGATGTGGGGTAGGCGTTGGATTTGGACATAGACGTAGACATGGAAGTTGAAGGACTGAGAAGTAGTACCAGGGGTAGGGCACTTGCCTTGTATGTGCTATACCCTGGTTTGATTGCCCAGCACCCCATAGGGTCCTCCACGCCCACCAGGAGTGATCCCTGAGTGCAGAGTCAGGAGTAAGCCCTGAATGCTGTTGGGTGTGGTTCAAAAAACAAACAAAAAAGGAAAGTAAGAAAATAAATGAAAGTTGAAATTTGATAAACAGAAGCAAAAAAACCCACAAAGCTCTTACTCAGTCTTTCCTCACTGATTTCAGGGTTGTTGTGAAGAGTGAACACGTTATGTTGCTATGGCTTTGCATACAGGAAGTACTGCCGGCTCTCTTGTAGGGAGCAGCCTGAGCTCTGAGCTTCTTAGCATTGCTGGGTGTATTTGACACTACCCTCCCCCAAGAAAAATCCAGCATATCATATATATTTGCTGCAGGTTGACTTTAGGTTGACCTTGCGACCACTCACTAGCCAATGTAGTGTAAAACTTTTGTGACCTGGGGCTGGAGAGAGAGCACAGCGGATAGGGCGTTTGCCTTGCATGCAGCTGACCCAGGTTCGATTCCCAGCATCCCATATGGTCCCCTGAGCACCACCAGGAGTATTTCCTGAGTGCAGAGCCAGGAATAACCCCTGTGCATTGCCAGGTGTGAGAAAAAAAAAAAAAAACAACCTTTGTGTCCTAGGCTGTCTAGTGCGTGGTTTGTGTGTGGGATCCCTGAGTTCTATAACCTTGACACCACGTGATCTCCCAAATGAAACCAAGACGTCCAAAAATGGAAAAGCAAAAGGTTCTAATGGGGGGCTGGAGTGATAGCACAGCGGGTAGGGCATTTGCCTTTCAAGTGGTGGACCCAGGTTCGATTCCCAGCATCCCATATGGTCCCTCGAGCACCGCCAGGAGTAATATCTGAGTGCGTGAACCAGGAGTAACCCCTGTGAATCACAGTGTGTGACCCAAAAAGCAGGGAAAAAAAATAGTTCTAATGGGGGTGGGTAGGGGGAGGTGTACACCTGCTGTGCTCTTGGTGTCCTTGTGGCTCTGTCATGCCTTAGTCCCTGTGCTTTCTTTCCTTTCACAAGATTTGTAATTTTGTAATTTAATAAGGAAAAAAAGTCAACTCTGAACATAATAGGAGTTTAAAGAAATCTTTGCAGCTACCCCTTAAAACCATTTTTTCTGGGCCTATGGATAGCTCAGTGACTTCTGGCACTCCCTCTGCAAGTGTGAGAGCCTGAGTATGATCTTACACGTGCACCGGGCACTGCCCCAGCACTAGAACTGTGTTTGCTGTGACCATCAGGTGTGTAAGTACTGTAACTAGAGTGTGTGACGCCTGGCAAACACCCACACTGAAGACTGTGTTCTCAGCAAGCTCGTGTGTGAGTACTAGATATACCCGAGTTGAGCTCTATGACTTAAAGGAATGAAACCCCAAGAGAACTTGCATTAAACCCACAGTCATCTCAGCAACAGCAAAAAAAGGGAAGAGGAAAAAACACAAAGTCCTCTTTAGTTTGCATAAAGTCACCACAGTAAAAGAGAGTCTTACATTCCTGGATAGACTCATTTCTTGGTATTACTTTGATGAATTTTAATGGGCTGGAGCGATAGCGCAGCGGGTAAGGGCGTTTGCCTTGCAAGCGTCCAACATGGCCAACCGAGTTCGATTCCTTCGCCCCTCTCCGAGAGCCTAGCAAGCTACTGAGAGTATCTTCACCCGCATGGCAAAGCCTGGCAAGCTACCCATGATGTATTCGATATGCCAAACACAGTAACAGTTGTCACAATGGAGATGTTACGGGGCCCGCTCGAGCAAATTGATGAACAACGGGAGGACAGTGACAGTGACAGAATTTTAATACTAGAGGAAGATAATCAGAGTAGACGCTAAAAATCACGGTAGAATGATTGACAAGAATGTTAAAAATGACAAGAATGTTAAAAATGACAAGAATGGTGGGATAAACTTCCGTGTGGGAAGGTGGTGGAAGAGGCAGGAGTATATGCTTTACATATGGGAGCCTCAGGTTCGATACTGGACACCATACGGGTCCCCAGGCCCCTGAGCGCACTATCCAATATGCTTCCATAGCCACACCTCCCAAAAAATCACTGCAAAAAAAAAAAAAACTGGAAGGGAAATGTAACGACAGGGAGGGAATGCAGAGGAGCCAGAGCCATAGTTCAGTGGGTAGGGTCTTGCATGTGACTGTCCTGGCCTCAATCCTCAGCACCCCATGTGATCCCTGAGCACAGAGCCAGGAGTAAGTCATGAGCACCACAGGGTATGACCCATGAACCAAAAAACTCTCCAAAACCTAAACCAAAGTAGTCATTGAACCTTTGTCTAGGAGCTATATCTAACACTGGAGCGATAGCACAGCGGTAGGGCGTTTGCCTTGCACGCAGCCAACATGGCCGACCCGAGTTCGATTTCTCCGTCCCCCTCGGAGAGCCCGGCAAGCTACCGGGAGTATCTCGCCCGCACGGCAGAGCCTGGCAAGCTCCCCGTGACGTATTCGATATGCCAAACACAGTAACAACAAAGTCTCCAATGGAGACGTTACTGGGCCCGCTCGAGCAAATCAACGGGAGGGCCTTTACTTTACTTTTACTTTACTAGTTATTTTATATTTGGTACAATTATTGTGGGCTGGAGCGATAGCTCAGTGGGTAGGGTGTTTGCCATGCACACGGCCAACCCAGGTTCAATTGCTCCGCTCCTCTCAGAGAGCCCGGCAAGCTACCGAGAGTATCTTGCCCGTGTGGCAGAGCCTGGCAAACTCTCCGATTGCATATTCAATATGCCAAAAACAGTAACAACAAGTCTCACAGTGGAGACGTTACTGGTGCCTGCTCGCTCGAGCAAATCGATAAACAACAGGAGGACAGTGCTACAATGCTACTATATTTTAGTATATATGCCATGATTAGTATAAAAATACAGCAGGGGCTGGAGAGATAGCACAGCGGGTAGGGCTTTTGCCTTCCACGTGACCGACCCAGGTTCGACTCCCAGCATCCCATATGGTCCCCTGAGCACCGCCAGGAGTAACCCCTGTGCATCGCCGGGTGTGACCAAAATAAATAAATAAAATAAAAATACAGCAGGAGGAGGATTGCAGAGATAGTGGGCTGGGTGCATGCTTTGCACGTAGGAAGCCTGGTTCTGTTCCCAGCCAGCATGTTTCCCTAAGCACCCCCACCCAGCAGGAATGCCCCTGAGTGTGGCCCAGAAACACAATAGCCACAAAGCAACAATAGGAAAGATTTAGCTCCAACCCAGAAATAGTTCATGAAGACCTTGTATAGAATTTCGAGGGCCAGAGCAATAGTACAGCAGGTAGGGCTTTTGCCTTGCACGTGACTGACCAGGATTCAATCCCCAGCATCCCATATTGTCCCCCAAGCACCACCTGGAGTAATTCCTGACGCAGAGCTAGGAGTAACTTGGGGCTGGAGAGATCGTGTGCTGGGTAGGGTGCTTGCCTTGTGTGCAGCTGACCCAGGTTTAACCCCTGGCACTCTGTCGGGGAATCCCCAAGCCCCTTCAGGGGTGATCCCTGAGCATAGGGCCAGGAATGAACCCCAAGTACAGCCAGTTATACCCCTGCAAAAAAATTTTTTAAATAGGATTTCTCCAGACTAGATTAGAGGGGACAATATACTAGAAAAATTGGATAGCCAATGCTAAGATAAGCTTTGGGAAAACACCTCTAGTTTTATAGTTTCTATGCTCTTTGCCCAGATTGCTTAAGGTTGAGATGGAATATCAAGGCCAGTATCACGTGTGGATTGGTCTTAGTATTCTGAGAATATCTTGAATATTGTGGTAAGGATTTTTTTTTTTTTTTTTGGTTTGGGGCCAATACTTGGCAATGCTCAGTGGCTACTTCATCTAGGTGCTTGGAGGTTGATTCCTAGTGATGGTGAGGGCACAGTGCAATATCAGATCTGGGATTTCTGCGTTCAAAACATGTGCCCTTTGGGTTGTTTCCCCAGCCCCTCCTGTACATTTTTAACAGGGCAGTGTTTGAGGAATCCTTCCTAGGAGACCCCTCCCATAATCTGGAAGCTTCCCTGCCTTCCTTTCCCTTCCCCTAAGTAAAAGTTTTTTTTCTAAATTCAGCAGAAAAATTAAAGAGTGGTACTTAGGGATATAATTCTCTGATGGTTTGTTTCATCTTTTTTGTTTTGGAGCCACATCCAGTGGTACTTGGGCCTTACTCCAGGGTCTGTGCTCAGGGCTCACTCCTGGTAATGCTTGAAGGTCCACATAGGGTACCAGCATCGAACCTGGGTCAGCCACACACAGGGCGAGCACACTACCTACCGTCCTATCTCTCTGGTCCCAATTTTGTGATGGTATTCAAGTAGATCAAGAAAGACACTTTGGTTCTTTGTTGTTTTGGTTTGGGTCAACACCCAGCAGTGGTCAGGAATTACTCCTGGTGGTTCTTGGAGACCACATGGGATACTGAGGATTGAATCTGGGGCAGCTTTGTGCATGCAAGTACCCTACCCACTATACTACTGCTCCGACCCCAAAGATACACTTGAGTAGTTTAAGAGAAGTGATGGGAACTTGAACTGGAGCAGTAGCAGTGGGAGTCCAAAGTTAATAGAGCTGGAGATGGCCCAGAGAGCTGGAACGCAGGCTCTGCCTGTGGGAGCCCTGGGTTTCATTCCGAGCATCAAGGTCTCAGCAAGTTTCCCAGGAGCATCTCTGGGTTTGGCTCCCTCTCCCCCCTAGAAATCCAGAAAACAAAACAAAACAGAAAAGCAGAAGGGCCAGGCATGTTGCGCCTCCAAGAGCAGGTGCTGCATGTGAGGCCCTGGGCTTGATACCTGGCAACACACACACTTCCCCCTCCACCCCAGAAAAGAAAAAAGTGAGCAAGAACATGTTGAACCCATTGTGCACCCGGTTCTGTGTCAGATGCTTTCACCAATTTTGTTTCCACAGCATAGTAGGAAGCTCAGATCCCAAGCAACTTTCTCAGATTTACACAGCGACTGGGTCACGACCAGATTCCAGGTCCCCCTTTTCTAATGTCAAAGAACACAGCAGACTCAAGTAGCACAGCTTCCCCTTCTAAATAGATTTCGCAGCCTTGCTGGCTGTTTAACCCTTGGTGGGAAAGCTGTTCTTCCTTATAGTCTTAGAAAGACACATAGTTCATTTTCTTTCTTTGTCGTTCTTTTGGGGAAAGGTTGAAAGGCTCTTTGTTTTGGAAGGGGGTCTTCACACGCTGCCATGCAAGGGGTTACTCCTGGCTTTGCACTCAGGAATTAGGTTGAGGGGTTCTTTGAAGTAGCAGTGCTCATTGGCCTCACACACTACTCTAGAAGATGCTCCACCAGCCAGACTGGACAATGTAATGCCTGCCGCCAAGGATATTGTACTGTTCAGTCTCTGCAGTGCTGGGGACCACCAGGCCACTGGAAATTCTTGAAGGCTCCCAGGTCTATAACTGGCCATACTTGGGGCAACACGGTGCTGGGACCAAACCAGGGTCCTTCAAATTTAAGACAGACCCCCCCCACACCACCACTGAACCATCTCTCAGACCCATTGTTTTATAAGTTAAAGCTCACACAAATGACAGTGCATGTATTTGAGCAGTTTGTGTTAAATATGTCATCTGCAGTATTGTCACAGTTTCTTCCAATTGCCTTACCAGATTCTGCGGCACGAGGAATTTGAAGAAGGCTGCAAAGCTGCCTGTAATGGGTATGGTACCTTGTTTCCTACAATCTCCTTTAGTTTCTGAATCCCCCTGAGAGCCCATGGCAGTCTCTCAAGTGAGTATGAGACAGTGGAGTAAGTTAGGGGAGCAATTTTGAGACTGCAGAATACTACATTAATTACATACTGTGGATTATTAGGTTTAGTTGCCTTAACAAGTTGGAGAACTCTGAGACCTACTGAGAATCCTGTATTTCTACTGCCATATGCCAAAAACAAGGAAAAACTATTTTAGCCTCTTTTTTTAGAATAAGATAATTTAAAAGAAAAGATTTCAGGGCCAGGGAAATAGTACAAAGATTAAGGTGTTTCCTAGCATGAGGCTTTGTCCACAACCGTTCAAATCCTGGCGCGACATAGGGTCCCCGGAGTGGCATCTGAGCACTGCTGGGCACAGCCCCCTGGGCAAAAAGAATAACCTGCTTCCCCCCACCACCTTCCTTCCATTGATGTTTTTGCTATGACAGAGGCTGCACATCAGCCTGTGCGCCCCATGGTTCGCCCTCCCCTAGTCTCAGCACTCAGGACAGGCGCTTTGAATTGGGGCACACACTGCAGTTGTGTTGCTCACTGAGGCTCATGCTCCCTCTGGTGCTCCTACACAACTGGTGTGTATGTGTGTGTGTGTGTGGGGGGGGGGGGTGGCGAAAATCACTTGCACTGAGAATTGAAGTGTGCACATAGCAGGCATGTGGGACATGGGGGATTCGAGCTTATGACCCTATGCTTGCCAGGCAGGTGCTCTAAGCCCTGTGCTTTTTCTTCAGGTCCAGGAACAGAGAAATGAAACTCAGATTATAAGTACTATTTTTTTTGGGGGGGGGGTTGTTAGGGGTTCCTCGGTGGGACTCTGGAGGCTGGGAGCTCCACTGGTGATTCTCGGCCAACCCAGAACCAAGGTTCAGGGCCCAAGGATGCAGTGCCACTTGGAGCTGAGGTGCCAGAGATGACTTGGGCCACCCTTGGTGCTGAGGCCTGCAGGGTGGCACCCAGTGGTGCTCCAGGGAACCATGTGGTGCCATCTCCAGGCCCTGGAGTGCAATTACATAGTATAGGATTCTGACCTTTGCCTTAAAGAAAAGGGTGCAAGCCCTTCCTGGAGTCAGTGCCAAGCAGCTGGTCTCTGGCCGTTGTGAGGGACTGGAATCTTCAGTCAGCACTGTCTGCGTCCACCGTGGTCTCCAGGCCTCTGGTGCCACAGAAGGTTTTGCCCAGCTCTCTCAGCCCTCTCATGCTTGGAGGGAAGGGGAAGACCTTAATCAGACCTTTGTCTGTGGTCACTGGATTTACTTGACTTTCGTTTTTCTAGACCCTACGATGGCAAGTGGAGTAAAACGATGGTGGGATTTGGGCCTGAAGATGATCATTTTGTTGCAGAACTGACTTACAATTATGGCATTGGCGACTACAAGCTGGGCAATGACTTCATGGTAAGTGTCATTTTGTTCTAGACCTCTAACTTCAGGTGTTCTTACCACTAAAGCCACAGCTTTTGGGTTCTGAATTGTTTAATGACATCCTTTGTTTACCAGAGCAAAACCAGGGTCAGTGCAGAAAGCCCAGGTGGCTGGAGTGCGTATTTTTATCTGCAGGAATCCCAGATTCAACCTTCGGCGCTCCATAGTCTCCCCGGCACCAAACCAGGAATAGCTCCTAGCACTTGTAGGTGTAGCCCCAAAACAAGCTCCTGCTGGGGCCTTCCTGTCTGAGAGCTGACTTCAGGATGAAAGGTGCTAGACATCGAGATCCAGACTTAGAGGTAGGGATCATGAGGGACAGAGTGATAGTGCATCGGTTAGGGCGCTTGCCTTGCATGTTGCCAACCTGGGTTAGATCCCTGGCATCCCATATGGTCCCCCTAACATTACCGGGAGGAATTCCTGAGTGCAGAGCATTGCCGGTGTAGCCCCCAAAACAAAAAAAGGCAGGGAAAGAGAGAGATAGGGGCTGGAGCAATAGTATAGCGGGTGTTTTGGCATTTTCCTTGCACACGGGCATAACCCTATATGACCCCCAAGCCCACCAGGAGTGATCCCTGAGCACAGAGCCAGGAGTAAGCCTTAAACACAGCTGAATGTGACCCACAAAAACAAAAAAACAACAACAAAAAAGAAAATTAGCTCTTTTTTTTTTTTTTAAGCAGAGTGGGGAGGGAGGGGCAGGAGTTGTTTTGTTTTGGGGTCACACCCAGCAATGCTCGGGTTACTCCTGACTGCACTCAGGCGTCACTCCTGGCGGTGCTCGGGGGGACCTTATGGGATGCCGGTGATCGAACTCAGGTTGGCAAGGCGAACGCCCTACCTGCTGTACTGTTGCTCCAGCCCAGACTTAGTTCTAGCTTGAAGGAGACAGGATTCCTCGAGGGGACAGACCAGAAGATCTTTCAAAGTAGAAAGGCCTGAGTTACTGTTCTGGTGAGGGCCTATCGCCATCATTGTCCAGAGAAGAATCTTCAGGGACTCTGCTTCTCCCTGTTTGGCAGAAGTGGCCTCTTACACACTGCCAGCTGCATCCCTGAGACTGATTGGGCCCAAGTGGGTGCCCAGGGCTGCTTTTAACTCTGGTAAAAATGGCAACCCCTTCCTTGACCTCACTGACATGGTCTACCCGTTCCAGTGTGGTTCTGCCCCTGGGATGTTCAGTGGCACGTTGAAGGCTGCGAGAGAAAACCAAGCTCCATCTTTGAGGAGCGAGATCCTGCCCACAGCAGCTGGGAGATGCCGGTGCTGAGTATATTGTAGGAGCCCTCTGGGGTCTTCACTGCCCAGAGAAGGAGAGATCTCCAGGATCCTCATCTGTGCCTTAACTGCTGATGCACTCGTGTGCACGGGGGGCACGAACCACGAGACTGAATGCCTCCGTAAGGTTGTCAGTTCACACTGCCCGCCCCCCCCCCCCTTGGGCATCACAGGGGCTCAAAGACTGTCACTGATGCTGTGACTGCCATTCAGGGGACTGGGACCACCCCTCTGGGAAAAGAGAGTGACAGCAGAGGGGCGGCCGTCAAGTCATCTCCAGCTGCGTGGAGGTCACCCTGGAGCTGACAGAAAGCTGACCGGCACGGCCTCTGTCTCTCCGCTCCTGTGTCCCCCACTCTCAGCATGTCGGCTATTGATCTGACTTGCTGCCTGGTAAAAGCTGCCAAGCACAGTGACATTAAGCCGGTGGTGAGGGGCCTGAGAGATGGTGCAGGAGTTGCGGTGCTTGGCTTTGCATGTGTTTGACCCCAGCTCCATCACTGACACCCCACACGGTTCCCCTGAGCACTGCTGTGTCATGATCCCCAAGCATAGTGCTAAGAGTAGCTCCAGAGCACTGTTACATGTGGCCCTAACACCCTCCCCCTACAACCCCCCCAAAACAAAACAAAACAAAACAAAACACGGCTGACCTGGGTTTGATCCCCGGCATCCCATTTGGGTCCCCTGAGATCACCAAGAGTAATTCCTGGGTGTAGAGCCAGGAGCAACCTCCGATCATCACCAGATATAACACCCCCCCCCCCCCCAATAAAAAAAACAAGATGTCAAAACCGTTGGGTGCGGTCATCATTGAATGAGCTGAGGTTATTGGTGATTGGGGTACAGGAACTCAAGGTTGGTAGAGGGGAGCCTTCTGAGGTGATGGCATGTCCCCCATGAAGCAGGCTCTCTGTGTTCCTCAGCTCATGGGATGGCTGGAAAATTGGGTTAAATAGAACCCTCATGCTCTTAGTACCTTGGGACCCCTGAGCAACATCCCTCTCCCCCCCAAGAAAAGTGTGATTACACACTATTGGTGTGACAAAATGCCCTTGTGGGGCCAGAGAGGTAGTACAGTGGGTAGGGCCTTGCACACAGCCGATCTGAGTTTGCTCCCCAGCATCCTGTATGCTGCTCCAAGTACCACCAGGATTAATTTCTGAGCACAGCACCAGGAGTAAGCCCTGAGCATTGCTAAAGGTGGCCCCAAAACGGAAACAAAAAGTGACAGAAACTGCGTCCTTTCTTTTTCCTTCTTTTTCTTCCTTCCCTTCTGCCTTTCTTCTAGAGAAAATATATTTTATTTTATTGGAGGGGCAGAGGAGAGGTTTGAGCAGTGCTCAGCAGTGCTCAGGCACTATTCCTGGCTCTGTGCTCAGAAGGGACCCCCTGTAGTGCTCAGGGGACCATATGTGGTACAGAGACTTAAACCATGTATGGGCCTTAACCCCTATACTCTCTCCAGCCCTACATAGATACTTATATTAACAAATGTCTAAAGTGACTGGAGTCTTAAGCCATTCTGAACATTGCTGAAGGTGACCCCAAAAATGGGAAAAAAAAAGGACAGAATTTAATCATGTGACTAATATTTATGGAGCGCCTGTTATATACCAGACCCTGTTCCAGGATCATGAAGTACCCAGTGAATTAAACCCATAAAAGTCTGTGCCAATTCAATCAGCTAACCAGTGGCTGAATAAATAGCAGTATTCCTCCACAAAAAAAAAAGTCTGTGCCGAGTTGGGGAGGAAGTCCAGGCCCTAAGCAGCAATAAATAATAATAGGGTGCATAAATAAATCAGAAAATACATTACTTTTCTGTAACCACTGTTTTGGGTAAAGAAAAGGGCAATGTAAGGGGAATTAGGCCCTGGGGGAGATGACTGGTTTTCATTTCAAGCAGGGTACTGAGGGTCAGTCAGAAGGTGCTGTTTGAACAAAGGCTCAGAGCAGACCAGGAAATGAGCCAGGTGGCTGCCTGTGGGAAATGCGTCTGGCGCAAACCCCTCCCAGGGCACTCCAGGTGCAGGGGAGGCTGCCTATCTGGAATGGCGCGAGTGGAGAAGGCGGACGAGATGGTGTCCGGATGGCCTGGGCCTTTTAGGCCAGCTCAGCTGCCCCTGAGTGAAGCAGAGAGCTGTTGGAGGCTTTCAGCTGGGGTGAAGTCCAGCGTGGCCCAGACTAGGGGGTGGAGCAAGGCTCTTTCAGTTGTCCCTGTCAGAGGACGCGGGCTTCCACAGCAGGCCCAGGTGGACGTTTCTAGGTACTTTCTAGAAAGAACTGCTGGGCTTGTACATTTGGCTGATGGGGTTGTTTGTCACAGGGTATCACGCTCGTTTCCAGCCAAGCTGTCAGCAATGCCAGAGAGCTGCAGTGGCCCCTTGTTGAAGTGACAGACGGCGTGTTTGAGACAGAGGCCCCCGGCGGATATAAGTTCTATCTGCAGAACCAGAGTTCGACGCGGTCAGGTACGTGGAAGCCCTCTCCGCCTCCCCGCATCTCTGAACATGTGTGGGAGGAAACTCGCTTGCTCTCTGCCCTGGCGTCTGGGCCTGCTGTATGTTCTCGGAGAGGTTGAATCCTCATTTTAGAGTGTGTGTGTGACTGCTGCTCTAGGGAACATAGCTGCTTAGTATATTTTTGGCTGCGAATAACCAAAAAATTTGACTCCCTTTTTTTATTTTTGGGCCATAACCGGGGATATTTAGAGGCTAATGGCTCTGGACTCAGGAATTCTTCCTGGTGGTATTCAGAGGACATATGGGATGCCGGGTATGGAACCTGGGTCTGTTGCATCCAAGGCAAATCTACTTGCCGTACTATCTCTCTGGTCTGCCAGCTTCCTTAATAAGAAAGAAAAAAATATATGTTTAGTTTGGGGGACATACCTGTCAGTGCTGTTCAGGAGCGCCTCCTCCTGGCTCATGGGCACTCCTGGTGGTGCTCAGAGGAACAAATGGTGCCATAAGTCGAACCCAGGGCCTAACACATACAAGGCAAGTGCTCTTCCACTGAGCCACTTCCCTGACCCATAGAAAATTTCATAGCTAACAGCACTAGCTCACACTTTAGAAAAGAGATCGGGGTTAATTGAGTAGGTCACAGTGGCATTGAGCATTTCCATTTTCTCTGTGCATTCTCTTGTCTCCAAGGATCCACACTCCTAGGTTCACAGCTGGATCCCGTTCTCTTGGTGCTTCATGGCATGAGTAACAGTGGGGCTCCATGTGCCCACATTTTCCCCTAGTCGGGAAGGAGGAAACTGACTTCCTGTTCTCTTTCAAGAGCAAAGCAGAACTCATTGAGATCTGCTGGCAGACTCCCTGCTCCAGTCTGATTCTTCCATGCCCACCCACTCCGGTCATCTGAAAAGGGTGAAACCCAGTCCGCCAGTCTTGGCCCTGTACTGCCCCCCGGGGCAAGAGTGAATGGAAGTGTGGAGCTCATACTCTGCCTGCCGCCAGCCTCAGGACTGATTTGACACAGGCAGGAGACTGCGTGGAGTGCGGCGGTTTCCTCGTTCTGTGTATATTTGAACTGCACATTCTGCTCTCTGTTCTGCTGAGGAGAATGAGCAGGGCAGTGCCACTGTTGTGCTCAGTGAACACAGGGTCTTCAGTGGACCCAGGAAAGGACACAGATGCCGGTTCACAGATGCCTCTCACGCTTAGTCCAACTCTCATGTTCTATATCTGCCTTTCTTCTAGACTTAGCAAAATTAAGACCCTATTCTAGGGTCTTTAAGAGATGGCCCAGTGGGCTGGAGTACAGACCTGGCATGCTGGAGACAAAGGTTCAACCCCTGGCATTGCCTGTGATTGGGGCTGGAGAGGGCACAGTGGGTAGGGCACTTGCCTTGCATGTAGCCCACCTGGGTTCCATCCCTGGCATCCGAAATGGTCCCCTGTACACTGCCACACTGCCAGGAGTGATCCCTGAGTGCAGAGCTCAGAGTAATGCGGAGCATCTGCCAGGTGTGACCCCAACCTCCCCTACCTCCTGCCAGAAAAAAAAATGTTGCCTGTGGTGACCCCTAAGCATTGAGCCAGAGTATTCCCTGAGCACAATCAGGTAGCACTGTAGCACTGTCCTCCTATTGTTCATCAATTTGCTCGAGCGGGCACCAGTAACATCTCCATTGTGAGACCTGTTTTTACTGTTTTTGGCATATCAAATACGCCACGAGGAGCTTGCCAGGCTCTGCCGTGTAGGTGGGATACTCTCGCTGGCTTGCTGGGCTCTCCGAGAGGAAAGGAGGAATTGAACCCGGGTCGGCCACGTGCAAGGCAAACGTCCTACCCACTATGCTATCCCTCCAGCCCTGAGCACTGCCGGTATGGCCTAAAAACCAATATATACTTTTCTGAGCTAAAGAGATACCTCCACATGTTCTGAGACACATTTTGCAGGTTCAGTCCTCCGTGACACCACATGATACCCCAGCACTGTACCCCACCCACCCCCAGCACAGAGCTCTGAAGGAAAAAAGGGAGGGTAAGCTGAATGCAAGACAAGCACTTTACCTGCTATATTATCACTCTTGTGCCCCTACGCGCGTGCACACTCACACACACTTTTTATACATATACATATACTTTGTATAGATACACACACACACACACGTATATACTTTTTCTTTCGGAAAAAATAAGCCATGAGATCTCTGGCTAGCTTCCAAGAGAGCTCCGTTGGCTTGACTGGGAGTAATGGGGCTTTCCCAGGTTATGTGACTTTTCCACAGTAACTCGGGCTGCAGGAGGCTGAGGAAGAGTGCATTCAGAATTTCTGATCTCCAGGAAGCCCCATCTCTACCATGATTGTCAGTCTGTCTTACTTTCCCGTACCTTTCTGTTTGCTGGAGTTTCTGCAATGGCCAGGGATCACATCCATGCTGGTACTCACCAGGCCTGAGCTGCGGAGATCATATACAATTCTCTCCTGGGATCACAGTCCTTTAGTAGCGGAGTCAGCCTACTTCCTAATCATGGCCTGACCAGGGATCACCCTTGCTGGCTACGCTATCCACTGGGGGTGGCATCCGATAGCCACACTTGTCACATACACCTGGCTTAGCTGAAGCCAGGGACTTCAAATGGCAGTCACAACTGTGCTTGGCGGCACTGAGGTTTGACTGCTTGTGTTTGGCAAGACTGGTACCCCATACTGCTGAATACTCCCATGACCCACCATTCATCATTTTCGATCATTTAGGAGTTAGCTGGGCGAGATCAACCTTGACATCTGGTTTTTTTTTTTTTTTTTTGCTTTTTTTGGGTCATACCCAGTGATGCACAGGGGTTACTCCTAGTTCATGTACTCAGGAATTACTCCTGGCGGTGCTCTCGGGACCATATGGAATGCTGGGAATTGAACCCGAGTCAGCCTTGGGGGCTGTAGCCCTCAGGTTAAAGTGCTTGCATTTGTGACACAGAAAACAGATGTCGGGCCTGGAGCAATAGCACAGCAGGTAGGGCGTTTACCTTGCACTTGGCCGACCCAAGTTTGAACATCATCAAGTGTCGCCCTAAAACCAAGAAAGAAGGGAAAAGAAGGATTCAATCTAATGTTGGTAGAGGCTGTGTGCCACTATTGGAAAAAAAGGTATTTCAGTATTTCACTGATATTTTAAGGGGTTTTATGATTCCTTTGCAAATAGGTGATTATCTTGTTTGGGGGCCACACCCAACAGTGCTCAGGGCTTACTCCTGGCCCTGCACTCAGGAGGTAGCACTGGGGGACTATTTAAGGTGCCAGGGATCAAGTCCAGGTCTGCCATATACAGAGTAAGCACCTTAATCCTATAGTATTGATTCAGCCCCATTTCTTTTTATACCGACTTTAAAACTCGTACAACTAACTCCATTGTACGTTCCCCCCCACCCAGCTTTAAGAATTTTTTTTTTTTTTAACATTTAAACTTGTGGACAGCCCCATGATCCATCCTGTTCTGGGATAAATGTACCTTTGAGGCATCATGCTAGTTGGCATTCACCTCCCTTTAGATTACCCACTTATTCTTCTGCTCTGCATCTCAGTGGGATCCTAATTGCCTGGGTTTTGTTGATTCAGAATAAATAAGGCAAGTTTGACTCATGCAGAGGCACAGTAGGAAGCCCCATAGTCATGACACTATCAGAGTAGCAAAGGGACTAAGGGAACATAAGGGGAAAGCTGGTGGAGCGGAATATATTGTATTTATCCTAATCAGAGTTAGACTTCCAGTCACTGTTTAGGAAGTCATACTGTTATAAGTTTCCAATGTAACTTTGATTCATTTTAGGAAAACAGTAGTTATCTTCCTCAACACATTATCAAAAAAGTAAAGGAGGTTCAGGGACCAGGTGGTGCTGGGGGCTGAACCAGGGCCTTGAATCCAATCCTTGAACCCTGCCTCCTGAATTCACACTAACCCTTTGAACTATTTCCCTTCTCCAGCACTATACGTTTTGGTTTTGTTTTGGGGCCACACCCGGCAGTCCTCAGGAGTTGCTCCTGGCTCTGCACTTAGGAATCATTCCTGGTAGGTTCGAGTAGTATAAGCCGAGTACTATCAGATGTGTGTGTGTGTCCCCCCCCCCCCCAATAATAATAATTTGCCAATTAGATAAAATATTTAAAATTCTTTTTGGCTGTTTATAAGATTGAATATTTTGGGGTTTTTTTGGGGGGGTCATACCCAGCAATGCTCAGGGGCTACTCCTGGCTCTGTACTCAGGAATCACTCCTGGTGGTACTCAGGGGAACATATGGTATGTTGAGGATAAAATCCTGGTTGGCTGCATGCAAGGCAACTGCCCTAGCCTCTGTACTGTTGCTCCAGCCCCAAATATTTTTTTCATATATAATGTCCATTTCTCTCTGGCTATTGTAGGGGGCTATCCCCTGCCATGCAATATTTCTAGGAGTCAGAAGACCAGGGGTTCTGGGAATATCCTTACAATTGCAGAGCATATGCTTTCCCTTATACCAGTCCCCATTTCTACGTTGTGTCTTTTGCCTATTTTTCTAGGATGTTTGACTTTTTCCTATTAAAGTTTAAAGGCGATTTTGGTGGAGAGGAGTTGTGTTTTGTATTGGTTTCACACCTGAGCATTGTCTGGGGACCATGTGCTGCCAGGGATTGAATCTGGAGCTCCTATATGCAAAGAATGTACTCCATGAGCTGGAGCAATAGTGCGGCGAATAGGGCGCTTGCCTTTCATGCAAGCCGACGGGGTTCAATCCCTGGTCTCCTGAGCCTGCCAGGAATGATCTGCGAGCACGGAGCCAGGAGTGTGCCATCAGTGTAGCCCCCAAACAAAAACGCTAACAAAAATTCCTTTACCATATACTAAATCTAAAAATTGGTGGGTGGAAAAGAGTATTTGGATCATCCCTGTGTGTGGCTGGCTCTTTGCTCAGCAGTGATGCCTGGCATGCTCGGGGGCTCATATGTGGTCCTGGGAGTTTGGACCAGGGGCAGCTGGCTACATGCAACATTAAGTGCCTTAACCTCTATACTATCTCTCTGGACCCTAAATTCTTTTTTTTTTTTTTTCATTTTGGGTCACACCCGGCGATGCATAGGGGCTATTCCTGGCGCCACACTCAGGAGTTACCCCTGGCGGTCCTCAGGGGACCATATGGGATGCAGGAATTGAACCTGGGTCAGCCGCATGCAAGGCAAATGCCCTACCCACTGTGCTATCGCTCCAGCCCCCTAAATTCTTCTTTAATTTTGGAGGGTGGCCTCCACACCTGGTTGTGTTCAGGAGTCATTGTTGGCTGTGTGCTCAGGTATCACTCCTGGTGGGGTAGTACAATATGGGGTACTAGCGACCAGACCTGGTCAGTCATATATAAGGCAAGTGCCCGACCTCATACTGTCTCTCTGGCTCTAAGCAAGGACCCTAAATTTTTAACTTCAGCCTCTTTTGGTGTTTAATTCAACTCACCAGTCCACATCTGCCATCTTATGATCCTACAGATCCTGTATTAAAAGTAACCTTAGCAGTTTCTGATCTTCAGAGGTCCTTGAATTACTGGTCTAATCTCCTGGGAATGAAAGTTTATGAAAAAGATGAAGAAAAGAAAAGGGCTTTACTGGGATATGCTGATAATCAGGTGAGTGATCTGGGAGAAAAATTACTTCATACTTAAAAGAGTTTGTCTTATAAATGAAGTTACAATGAAGGTTATTCCCATAGTTCCTTCACAAGAATAATAGTGATACAGAAGAAAATAGACATGGCTGATAACCTCACTACTCAGCTATTATTTCTATTCATATCTGGAGAAACATTCCTTCTCCCCTCCCCCCCATTTGGGCCACACCTGGCAGTGCTCAGGACATACCCTGTGCTCATATGGGGTGCCAAGAATCAAACCCAGGTCATCCACAGGCAAGACAGGCACCCTGCCTGCTGTGTTATTGCTGTAGTCCTATGTATTTGGAATCTATTCTTTCAGAAGAGGAATTGTTCATTAATAAAAGATATTGACGTAAAGGGTGATCTAGTTGAATTTCTTTTTTAAATAACTTAGCAATTGAATGTGATAAAATCCTTACACTTTACCCAGAACGTCCTAGGAATTCGTTTTATTAGATACTTTGTTTGGTTTTGGTTTTGGTTTTTCGGTTTTGTGGCAACACCTGGTAGCATTTTGGGGTCACTCCCTGGGATGTAATGGGGTACCATTCAGTGCCAGGAATGCAGCCCGGGGCTCCTACATGCAAAACATTTGATTAGACCTTAGAACTCTTGCAGACCTGCTATTTCATGATTTTGCTCTCCCCTCCCTTCCCTTCTTCATTGTGGGTGTTGTGATGATGGGAATCGCACACACACCTGATTGTGATACTCACCAGGGCTCACCCATGTTTGGCATTGTGTGTTGTGTCACAGAGGCTGGGTGGCACTGGTTATGGTGTCTGCATGCTTGGCCTCAGTGCAGGGGCACTTCTTTAGTTCTGTGCTTCTTGTTGTAGTACCCTTCCAGGGGTCGTGTGGCATTCACAGTGCTCTCCAGCAGCACACCTCTCTGCTCATGTATACCTGGCTGCAGTGCTCTGAGAAGTCACGTGTGGGGGACCAGAGTGACAGTACAGTGGGGAGGGCGCTTGCCTTGCTCGAAGCTGACCCCAGATCCATCCCCAGCATTCCGCATAGTCCTCTGAGCCAAACCAGGGGAGTGATTCCTGTGTGTAATGTTGAGAGTAACCCCCAAGCATTGCTGGGTGTGACCAAAAAACCAAAAACAGGAAGAAAAAGAAAGGAAAGGAAAATCCTGTGTGGTCCCAGGGATCACAGCAGCACTGCTGGGCTCACATGAAATATGTGGCAATACGGGGAATAGCGACCTGATACTTGCAAGGCAGGTGTTCTAAGCCACTGAATTGTTTTTCTGGGCCCTGGATATGTATTTTATAGACCTACTTAAAATATGCACTAATAATTCTGTGTATGGTTGGTTATCTGTGATAGCAAAATATAAGATGACAATATGATGAGTTAGGCATAGCTCAAATTTTTGTTTTGTTTGTTTTGGGGCCACACTCTGTGGCACTTAGGGCTCACTCCTGGCTCAGTGCTCAGGGATCTCACCCAGTGGACTCAGGGGATCATAAGTGATGCCGGGGATTGTACCCATGTTGGCTTCATGCAAGGCAAATGCTCTGCTTGCTGTACTCTGGTTCTGGAATCGTTCAATAATTGATGATTCGTGTAACAAATGGATGACTGCATAGCTATCAGAAAGAGGGATGCAAGTCTCTGTTGTTATGGAAACATCGAAACGAAGAAAAACAAGAGGCAGAATAATGTGTCCATTATGCTAAAACTTGTGTGAGAGAAAAAGAAAATCCACTGGGGCCGGATAACTTTGCCTGTGGAAGGCCCAGGTTTCCCGTGCAACATGGTCCCTGAGCACTGCCAAAGAGACCCTCTGAGCACTGTTTAGGTTGTTTCTAATTGTTTCTCATTTCGTTTCAGTGTAAACTGGAGCTTCAGGGCATCCAGGGTACTGTGGATCATGCAGCAGCTTTCGGGAGGATCGCTTTTTCTTGCCCTCAGAAAGAGGTAATGTGGGGCTGGAGCGATAGCACAGCGGGGAGGGCATTTGCTTTGCACGTGGCCAACCCGGGTTCGATTCTCAGCATCCCCTATGGTCCCCCGAGCACCGCCAGGAGTAATTCCTGAGTGCATGAGCCAGGAGTAACCCCTGAGCATCGCTGGATGTGACCTCAAAAGCAAAAATAATAGTAATAATAATAATAATAATAATAACAAATAAAACACCATAATTTAAAAAATTATAAAAAAAAGAAGAAAAAAGAAAGAGGTAATGCTTGGTGCTACATCTGTGGCCAGTTAGTTCCCCCAGCAAGCATTTTGTCCTTCGCTTCTCTCACTTCATTCTGATGGTACCCTTGGTGTCCAGTGAGCAGCTGTCTGCAGAGCAGCTGCTATGATGAAGTTGAACAAGTGACTCTCAGGTTCTTCCTGGCTGGTCTGGTCCTCCTGGGGGGCTAATGAGGGCCTTGGGCCAGAGGACTCAAGGAGGTCTGTGCTCACTTTCATCTTGTGTTTGTTCTCAAGTTGCCAGACTTAGAAAACTTGATGAAAAGGGAGAACCAGAAGATCCTGACTCCCCTCGTGAGTCTGGATACCCCAGGGAAAGCAACAGTCCAAGTGGTCATCCTGGCCGACCCCGTAAGTATGATGCCTGGGGGGGGGGGTCTCTCTGCTGAGGCATCTTTGCCAAATTTCTTTCCTTTTTTAATCAATGTAGGATGGACATGAAATTTGCTTTGTGGGGGATGAAGCCTTTCGAGAACTCTCCAAGATGGATCCAGAGGGAAGCAAATTACTGGATGAGGTGAGTCTCGGGCCTAAATCTCCATCTCCATAGGCCCAAATGGGTGGCATTGCACATGCTTGGGGAATGGTCCGGCTCTTACCCTCAGAACCAGGTCCTTGTGCTATTGGGGTGATTCTGAATCTGGGACTTGTATCCCCAGTGCTCCCCCAAAGGCCTTATATGGGCTTGGGTTTGTGTCCTTCCTCCCTCCCTGCTGCCACCTGCATTCTTCTCTGCTCAGTGAGTGGTCCATCAGGATAATTCCACAGCCCTAACTCGTTTCTCTGTGCCATCATTCTCTTTCTTACTACTAAGATGTTCTTATCAGCATACAAATAAGCGCTGCTGTCTCCTACCTCAAAGATCTTTTACTTACCCCATATCCCTTTTCCAGATTTGTTTTGTATTGTTTTGCCATGCCCAGTGGTGCTCAGGGCTTCCTCCTGACTCTTTGCTGAGGGATCGCTCCTGATGTGACTCAGTGGACTGTATGGGGTGCTGAGATCAAACCTGGATGGGCCACATGCAAAGTGAACACAACCTACTGTTGTTGCTCTGGCCCCCAAATTTTCTGGTTTTGTTCTTGGGTCACACCTTGTAGTGCTCAAGGCTTACTCCCTGTTCTGTGCTCAGGGATCACTCCTGGCGGGGCTCGGGGCTCGGAGTGCCACTGTGTGGTGCCGTGGATCAAACCTGAGTCTGCTGCATCCAGGGAAAGTGCCCTGCTGTTGCTCTGGCCCTTTTTTTAGATTTCTTTATAGCCAGAGTTCTTTTTGTCCCCCTTTTTTCTCGTTATGCTAATACTAGGGCAGTGTGAGAATTCACTTGGCCGTGGTGCTTCCTGAGGGCATCACACACATCATTGGTCCAGCCAGAGCTGCGTAGCATCTGGGGTAGTGCCCAGGGTTGAATGTATGGCCTTGCTCATGGCAGTTAAGTGCCTAACCTCTGATACACAACTCCTGACCCCAGATCTTTTTTTAAAAATATATATTGTATTTTTAAACCTTATTGATTGAGGTTCTGTGATTTACAAGATTGTGATTGTTTCTTGTGCACATAATTCCACTACCATACCCATCACCAGTGTCAGTGTGTTTGTTCCATCCCCCGAGAACAACTGACCCTTACAGACCCCTCAGCCCCAAATCAGTTGGTTGGACCAGCTCTCTAGTTCCATTGTTTTTTTTTTTTTTTTTTTTTTTGCTTTTGGGGTTACACCTGGTGATGCTCAAGGGTTACTCCTGGCTCTGCAGCACTAAGCATTCAGGAATTACTCCTGGTGGTGCTGAGTGACCATGTAGAATAATGGGGATTGAACCTGATTTGGCTGCGTGCAAGGCAAATTCCCTGCCACTGTACTACTGCTCAGCCTCCAAGATCTGTTGTCTCTTGCCTTTTGTTGCTGCCTTGCTGTGTATCTTATGTCTATCCCTTTCCTCTGATTTCATGCTACACGACACCCTCTGGTTTCATCCAGGTCATGGCAGATGGCAGGATTTTGTTCTTGCTTAGCACTGCAGAGTAATTCATTATGTATGTACACCCCAACTTCTTGACTCCCAGATTTCTTTTGTGGGGAAAAAAAATCTATTAGGGCCAGAGTGATATTACAGGGATCAAGGCTCTTGCCTTGTGGCCGGAGTGATAGCACAGCGGGTAGGGCATTTGCCTTGCACATGGCTGACCCAGGTTCAATTCCCTGGCATCCCATATGGTCCTCCATGCACCGTCAGGAGTAATTTCTGAGCACAGAGCCAGGAGTAAACCTCTGAGCATCACTGGGTGTGACCCAAAAAGCTTAAAAAAACAGACTCTTGCTTTAGTACGTGGATGACCCCAGTTCAGTCTCTGGCCACAGAATATGGTTCCCTGATTGAGAGCCAGGAGTAAGCCCAGAGCACCAGTGGGTGCAGCCCAAAACCTGTGTGCATACTCAGGCACACACAACATATACGTACTCATGCACACAAATGTACTCCTTCATGTAAACTATGTTTCTGTTTCTGAGTCCCTATATGCTTCTCATAACCTGAGGTTCCTGGAGGTGAGAGGGATCCTGGGGACACTAGTGGAGGGAAGTCAACGCTGGTATTGGGATTGGTGTTGGGACACTGCTCTTGTAATTCAGCTGTGAATAACTACATTCGTCATGGTGCCTTAATATTTAAAGAAAAGTTAAAAGTTGGGATTACACCTTTGCTACTACACCTTAGCCCAACTTAAACCTGACAGAATGAAAACAAGCATCTTAAACAGAATTCATGTATTTGCGATTCGATTGAGTAAAAGAATGTATTTACGTACCAGAGAGTTCTAGAATATGCTTAGTTTTATTGGCTGGGAAGTTTTGACAGGCTAAGGTTTCTAAGTTTAGCTCTTTCCTCTGCCCCTTTAATGGTCTAACTACGTGGAATAATAAGAGCAAAGGACTCAGTAGGACCAGAACATTAACAGGGCTTCCTTCTTACTCCTGAGGTCCCTGCGATTAGTAGAGCGGTGTGGGAGAGGCTTAGGAAAAGGAAATCATACCAGGTCAAAAGCTGAAATGTCAAAATAGCTTTGTTAAAGACTGCATCCCATGTGGAATAGACTCTCGAGCAAGCCTAAGTGGATGCTATCAGACTCTGCACTTCCTGTTCTGCCATCTCTTCCCCACATCCTGGCATGCTGGGTCCTTGCTCTCAGATATGCTTCCTGGCACATTTGGTCCTTGACACTGTGTGACACTCCAGGTATTGCTCAGCAGCCTTGTCAGACTCCACAATACTCTGGAATGGATGGACATGCTTTAAATTAAATGTTCCTTTTTTTGTTTTTTTAATTAGAGTTCAGGGGCTTGAGCAGTAGCACAGCGGGTAGGCTATTTTCCTTGCATGCAGTCTACCCGGGTTCGATTCCCAGCATCCCATATAGTCCCCTGAGCATCGCCAAGAGTAATTCCTGAGTGCAGAGTCAGGAGTATAACCCCTGTGCATCACCAAGTGTGACCCAAAAAGGAAAAAAAAAAAAAAGAAGAGTTCAAACTGATTTTTGAACTGCTTCCTATCCAGTATTTCGTGTGTGTGTGTATCCAAGCATACATTTACATATAAGTATCTGTTATATATGTATATATCTTTAACCGATATATGTATATATCTAGATAAGGTATTTTATACTATCTATATTACATGTATGTTGAGATATATGTATAAATACTACACATCTAGTATATGATATATGCTTAAATATGCACTGTCGCACTGTCCTCCCGTTTTTTCAATTTGCTCGAGTGGGCACCAGTAACATCTCACAACAAATTGTGAGACTGGTTACTGTTATTGGCATATCAAATATGTCACGGGTAGCTTGCCAGGCTTTGCTGTGTGGGCGAGATACTCTCAGTAGCTTCCCAGGAACTCCGAGAGGGGCGGAGGAATCGAACCTGGGTGTACAAGGCAAATGCCCTACCCGCTGTGCTATCGCTCCAGCCCATACTTATATAAGCATATATCTAGATATAGGTATAAAGCACTATCCCTTGATATAAAGATATGTTTTTATTTTGGTATCACTGCTGGCAGGGCTCAGGGACCCATGTATGGTGCCAGGGATTGAATTCGGGTTGGCCGCTGCAAGCCAAGCACCTTAACCCAGTATTCATTTCTTGACCGTGAACAAAGCAGTGAGGTACAGTGTGTTTTCATTGATTTTAAGTAAACATATTCTCTAATTCTGTTTCTACAGGCAATGGCAGCAGATAAAAGTGATGAATGGTTTGCTAAACATAATAAGCCAAAGGCTTCCGGCTAACAGAAGACCCCCGTGTGGGATGAGCATTTGTGATTCCTGTGTAATGCTTAAGGAGGCCTGTGGTGCCCCATATAATGCCCTCACATCATATAGGTTGTTCCCTATACAGGCAAGAAGGCAGGGGTGGCAAAGCATCATGTAGTTCATCTCTGAAGACTATGTTTAGAAGTAAATCCTTCAGGTGTTGGAGCATTGTATGATCAAAACTGAATCCTGCACAACTTTGTAACTGTATATCACGGTGTTTAAACTTAAAAAAAATTACATAAAAATAGAAGTAATTCCTTCAGAAGCATTCCAAGGAGAAGGCTTCCTCTAATCTTCACTGTCAGTTGAATCACATTGTAATCACATTGTAACTATATCCAATTATTGATTTTCCAGTCTTCTGTATGTTCCACCTGGGGCAGAGATGCAGAACACTATCTTTGGTTGAGGATTCAGGGGTTTCCTATAAGATTATAGATATTTTTAATAAACACAAACTGCTTAAAACAGACATTTCCAGCACCTGATGTAATAATATGCTGTTCTTATGTCTTACTCCTAACTCTGGTATGCCGTGGTATTCTTAATTTATTGGAAGAAATTTTGTTCCTTGAATCAAAAGATTAGTTTATCACATTTCAAACATTACAGTTTTGAGTAGCCAAAAGAAGACAGATGGATCTAATGCATTGTGTTCCTGCCAGCTTGGCTCTGTGCTTATATTATTTTGCTTTAATCCTCCCAAGAATATGCTGTATATATTTTTAAATAGATTAAAGGGCTACAGAGTTAGTATAATGGGCAGAGCATTTGTCTTACATATGGCCAACCTCTTTGGCGCCCAGTACCACATATGGTCCTCTGAGCCTCGACAGGAGTGATCCCTGAGCACAGATCCAGGAATAAGCCCTGTGCACCTCCAGATATGACCCCCGGAAACAAACAGAAAAGATGTTTTCTGCTGCCTGGAAAAAAAAAATTAGTTTGTTAGAGTTTTCTGTTTGGTTCTATTAGTAAATCACTGGAAATAACTATCTTGGACATATTGTTAAATGTTTTTCAAAAGTATACCTGTGAAATAAAGCATTATACCAGTCTGTAAAAAAAATTCTCTAACTTGGGAAAGCAGTCACAAGTTTAAGAGCAAGTTACATACCGAGAGACTTCCTCTTCTAGGCAATGGGTTCACCATTTTTTATTCTATATAAGGGAAATTATTGGATGAAAAAATTGAACTTCTGTGTCTCAACTATTTATTAATTCTTGATATTTCTAGTAATACTGCTTTGAAAAGATGGCTTTTGCTAGTGTATGAGGCTACTATACTGTGTGGTTTTCTAAGTTTGATGATTTCTGTTGGTACTGACTAAATACATTCTCTTTATCTGCTTATCGAATGTGTACAGCTCTGCTGAGTTCAGTTCCCAGCTCTGCAAATATTATTAAATATAGCTGTGTATGGTAGAAGTTAATACTGTTTATCTACCTGGAACATTTTGGCGTTATAATGCCAAACCCTCTTGTTATCTCATTGCCTATCATTTTTCCTTTGTTGAAGTACTATTGATTCCCCCTTTAAACCCTTTTGTTTAGAATTTTTACCTTCTATGAAATGCCATCTTGCCCAAGCTGATGTTTGTAAAGAAGTTGGAAAAGCTCTTTAGTTTCTCTCAAAGTTTTTTTTCAGAATATTTTTTCTACTTTAGTGAAATGATCCTACAAATTTAAGTCTAAGTTATTCTGGGACTTAATTTCAGAGAAATGTTTGTTTTGCTTTTGTTTTGGAGCCACACCGGCAGTGCTCAGGGATCACTCCTCATGAGCCAGGGGCCTATCTGGGGTGCTGGGGATGGAACCCGGGCCAGCCATATGTAAGACAAGCGCCTATTAGGAACTGGAGCTGCTCTGATGTCATGATCTTGAAAATACTTTTTGAGTACTGGAGAGAAAGTGATCTTGCTTTGCATGCAGCAGACCTGGGTTCAGTTCCCAGCACCTCAGATGCTCTGAGCAACACAAGGAAACCCAAATACAGAACCTAGAGTAAGCATTGAGCACTATCCTCTCTCACCCCCAGCTTTCCTCCCACCCCAACCCCCCTCCCACTTCGCAAAAACACCACTAGAGTACCAGGAATCCTATACACAGCACAGATGACCTTTTCCTCTGGGGTGAAAAAAATGTTGGCCACACCCACCGTTGCTCAGGGTTAACTCCTTACTCTGTGTTCAGTGATCACTCCAAGTGGGTTTGGGAACTATTTTGAAAGAAGAAACCTCTTTCCTTGCCACCTGCCACAAGCAGCTTCATTTTAGCTGTCCCCATCCTACATTTTAAACTTTCCTGCAAATCCCTGCACTCTTCTGAGACTCGGGAAGTTTATAATTTCCCAAGACTATAAACTTTGCCCCAGATCTTGGCCTCACAGGAGACTAACAAATGGACAGTACCTATGGTGAAATACAGAATCCAAAAGCTCTTCAATAAAAGGACAGTCGCCACCAGCATAAGTAGGAATGCAAGATGTTAATTTTAGCAACACAAAAACAAATGGGAATCCTCTGATACTTTGATGAGTAACAAAAAGATCCAGTTTTCCTATTAAAGCACCGTGTAGCACTGTTCTCCCATTGTTCATCGCTTTGCTCAAGTGGGCCCAGTAACGTCTTTGTCATGAGACTTGTTGTTACTGTGTTTGGCATATCCAGTACATCACGGGTAGCTTGCCAGGCTTTGCCGTGCGGGCGAGATACTCTCAGTAGCTTTCCAGGCTGTCCAAGAGGAGCGGAAGAATCGAACCCAGCTCGGCTGGGCTGGCTGCATGCAAGGCAAACGCCCTACCGCTGTGTTATCACTCCAGCCCGTTTCCTATTAAAAAGCCATACTTAACAGCCCTGTACTAAGCTCCTCCTCTGCTAGGGAGTTTTTCTACTTCTCAGTAAACTTGTTTTCTAACTTTCTAAGACTTTCTAAGTCTGAGCATCTTAATTACTCAATATTTTATTTTATTTGCTTTTTGGGTCACACCCGGCGGTGCACAGGGGTTATTTCTGGCTCTACATTCAGGAATTACTCCTGGCGGCGCTCAGGGGACCATATGGGATGCTAAGAATTGAACCCGTGTCGGCTGCGTGCAAGGCAAACGCCTTACCCGCTGTGCTATCACTCCAGCCTCCTCAATATTTTATTTTTTAATTTTAATTTTAATTTTCTGCTTTTTGGGTTACACCTGGCAATGTTCAGAGGTTATTCCTGACTCTGCACTCAGGAACTACTCCTGGTGGTGCTCGGAGGATCATATGAGATGTTAGGGTTCAAACCTGTGTTGGCCACGTGCAAGGCTGTACTATTGTTCTAGCCTGTATTTTTTAAATATTTTAATTAAATCACCATGAGATAGTTTATTACTCAATATTTTCACTCTTCAAAATATTGAAGAACCTGGAAACCATGGACAAACTTGTCAATATGGGGTGCCAGGTATCCAACCAGGGTCAGCCCCATGCAAGACAAGCTTCCTACCACTCCAGCTCTGAGCCTGCCAGGACTAATTCTTATGTACAGAGCCAGGAATAAGCCCTTAATACAGCTTGGTGTGACCCAAAACCCCCCAAATTTGGGGGGTGGTGGTTATGCCCATCGATGATTAGGGGTTACTTCTGGTTCTTCACTCAGGAATTACTCCTAGCAGTGCTCAGGGCCAGGGATCAAGCCCGGATTGGTTGCGAACAAGGCAAACGCCCTACCCGCTGTACTATTGGCCCCCCAAAAACAAATTTTTAAACATGCCTTTAACACCTTTTTAGTGCTTCAGAGCCCAGCCACATTATCCCAGGGTGACATGGCCACTGCTGCTTCCCCTGACAGCAGTGCTAAGGAGAAGATGAGCTGTGAAACTTGGGTCCTTACATGGGTGAAGCAGTGTTCTAAAAAAAAACCTCTTACCCTTACATATTCCTTGTCCTACAAACATCCCCAAGAAGAAACCCGGGTTCTCTGCAGAGTAGTGGGAGGAAATCTGTCAGCCTAGCCCACTGGATGAGTTTTTTCAGAGATTGGGGCTTTCCCTACCATCTGCTCCTGTTTCTCAGCTGCTGCTGTGGTGATGCCTCAATTATATCCATAACTTCATTCAGGATGGCTGCTGGCCAAACACAAACTTCACAGGGTCTGTGTTCTAGCAGGGACTTTTGGTGGTAGGACTGAATGTTTCATGAGAGCCAAAGCCTCTTTCCCCTCCATCACGGTGGTGATGGTGGTGTGTGGGGGGCGGGGGAAGGGGGTGGAATTGGCAACTCCTTGAAGGGATCAAGTATCTTGGCCTCCCCTCCCCTCAAAGGCTGGGACTGGAGAATCTCCTCACTGATCTCAAACCCTGGGCCCTTTCCATAGAACAATCCCCTCTTCCATTTCTGCCAAACATGCTTGGGGAATAAGGACGTTGGGCACTCTCCCAGAGCCACACAGACAGTGTGCGCTTTTCCTGGTGCAGAGAGGCTCTCAGACATTTGGAACACCTCCCCAGAAACAATCTCAGTAGGCAGGATTAGAGCGCTCCCAACAGCTGGCTAAACTGCTTGCACTAAGCTATATTTATTTAGGTCCCAGCCCTGCTTTCAAGGCGTTACCCTGAAGGTCTTCAAAGCCCTCTTTCCCACCCAGGGAAGCTGTTCTGCCTCGCTGGACGGTCTGGCTGCCCTAACCAGTGTCGTTTTTCTTCAGTTCTTCCACTTTGGCAACATAGAGCCTCATGGCATCTATCTTGGACATTCCTTTGTTCTTGCTCCAGGCCTCCCACTTTGCTGTGGCTTTGACATCGGTGCTGGGAGGGGCAGGGATGTCACAGTCCCCCTGGGTGGCCTGTTTATATAAGCTGTACACCGACAGTTTCTCCTGGTCACTTAGGGGCGTCTTCAACTGCTTAACAGCAGCACAGGCCAGTTCAAACTCCACCTGGCACATGAGAGTCGACGTAATCTTGAACTAAAAGGTGAAGGGTGGAGAGTTAGAAACATCCTTGACTTGAGGTTGATGAGGTCTGGGAAGAAAGGGAAGGGGAAGGGAAAGAGACTGGATAACCAACGTGTGGGGAGAATGCAGGATTCTGTTTTCTCAGTGAGAAAATGTTAAAGTTTTAATAAAAGAGATTGCAAGCTGACTCCTACAGGCTTGGATCACTCTCCCAGGTATTCTTTGTTTACTCTAAAATAAGTTTTTTTAAATGTCTACCCGCTGGGCCACACCCAGAGATGCTCAGGGCGTACTCTTGACTCATGCGCTTAGGAATCTCTCCTGGTGGGGCTCAGGGCAACATATGGGGTGCATCATATAGAACCCGGAAGGGCCGCATGCAAAACGAGCTTCCTACCTGTATTATCTATCGCTCCAGCTCTGAGCCCGCCAGGACTAATCACCGTGCACAGAGCCTACCCGCTGTCCTATTGCTGGGAATTGAACCCGAGTTGACCGCGTGCAAGGCAAACGCCCTACCCGCAGTGCTAACGCCCCAGGCCCCCTCCCTTAACACTCTTAACTCACCATTTATTTTCTTTTTGGTCAGGGTTATTCCTGGCTCTGCACTCAGGAATTACTCCTGGCGGTGCTTGGGGGACCATATGGGATGCCGGGGATCGAACCCAGGTCGGCTGCATGCGAGGCAATCGCCCTACCCGCTATGCTATCGCTCCGGCCCCACCCACCATTTATTTTCTAGGGAGAAATACCATTAAAATTTCAAAGGCGTCTACATCTGCGACACCGGAAAGTTAAGGGGCTGAGGGGACAGTCTGAAGGCGTGGCGTCGTGCAGGGAGGGAGGCTGGGCGAGGCAGACGAACCCAGCTGCTGCGGAAGGAAACGGCGCGCGGCCCGATCGCTTGGCGGGCGACCTGGGGAGGAACCTGCCGCGCCGGCGAACTCCCGGGACTTACTGGGCGACCGGGAAAGCGGCCCAGTGCCTGGGCCAATCACCACCTAGGCCTCTGGGAGTTGGGCGGGACCTGGAAGTGGCGGGGAGGGGCCAGGATCCTTGGAGGCGGGGAGAAGGCGGGTGGGTTACCTGCGGGGAGCGAGCTTATTGGAGGGTGGAGAAGGCGCCGAGGCCGGCTGGGACTGGGGGCGGGGCCAGGGGCGTGGCTCCGGCCCTGGCTCCGGACTCCGCCCATTGTGCCGGGGCGCCTGCGCAACTCGCGCGCGCGCGTGCGGGGGAGGGGCGGCCGCGCCGCCTCCAGCGTCGCCGCCATGGACCTAGGTGGGTGTCCGGCTCCTCGGCCCGGGTCCGCTGGGCGGGTCCGAGAGGGCCTGGGCAGAGGGGAAACTCCGTGTCGGGGCGAAGTGTGGAGGGCGGGGGTGGCCCGGCCACGGCCCACGCCGCCGCGCTCCGCGACCCGCCTCCGGGCCCGTTTCCACGTGAAGGGCGGAGCGGGGTGTGCAGTTGGATTTCCTGAAGGCCAACGGGCTTCGGGCGCGTCCTTTGGAAAAGCCCGGGCTCCGGGCACGCCCCCGGGAGCCCCGGCTGTCCCGGCGAACTCTTAGTGACTCGCCACCAAGACATTTGAGTCACGGTCTTCCGTGCCCGTGAAGTCCTCGTCGGTAAAACGGGCACGGGACCGTGCCCCGTCGTGTGTGCCATCACGTGTCTACAGCCCTGGGTACAGTGCCTGGCGCTCACTTCATCAGATTTAGCAGTTGGGAGGCACGAGAAAGCAATTAACATACTCAGAGCAAGGTCTGGGGTGGCGTGAGGCGCGAGGTGGGATGGCTGGAGTAAGCTGGTGACTCCCTGTCCACCTGCCTTCCAGACTGCTGGACGTGTACTTTGGGGAGAGGGGTTGTGGGTAAGGAATCCAGGACCTCATACCTCCCAGACATGCTCTCTACCACTGAGTTACGTTCCTAGTCTGCACATGTTCTATTCTGTTGCTTTGGGGCCACAGCTGTGCTCAGAGTTTATTCTTGTCTCGTGCTCAGGGATCGCTTCCTGGCTGTGCTTGGAGCATCATGTGTGGTGTGGTGGATTGACCGACACCCTCTCGGGCAAAGACAAGCGCCTTATCTCTTGGGCCTCCTGCACATGTCTTTGAGGGCATAAGACCAGGAGAGTATTCCGGGAGATGTGTCAATTATTGGCAGTGGTAGAATGTTGGGTCCCTGGCCCCCAGTGAAGTTTTCAGCAGTGGAAATGTGAAGTTGGGAGTTCATAGCTTAGCAGCAGGGACGATTTTTCCTCCTACCTCACAGCACTGTCGTCATAATATTGGGACAGATTGCTTTGGGGTCTCCGTGTTCCCATCTCTAAAGCAGGGATTATAGTTCTCAAAGGGTTGAAGGTTCAAAGTGATCTTACAAGTGTCCCGCTTAGCGCAGTGACTGGCACGGAGTAGGCCCTTGATAAACTCAAGGAATGAGCACGTGCAGGCACCAGGTAACCGCAGTGATAAGACACTTGGGATTTTCCCAACTCGACTCTGCATATTGTATTTAGTCTCTGGAATGTTGGTATTGAGGACAAATAACTGAAGGTGAGAGTGCAGTAAGATTAAGTTTACAGGAGCTGGAGCAATAGTATAGCAGAGAGGGTGCTCCCTTAGTACGTCGCCCACCCTGGTTCGATCCCTGGCATCCCATATAGCACCGCAAGGCATGATTCCTGAGTGCAGAGCCAGGAGTAACCCCTGAGCACAGCCAAGGATGACCACAAAACAAAGATTAAGTTTACAGTCACAGGGGAATATTTTGGAGTCCTGGGAGAATGGCCAGAGCTAAAAAGATCAGAACTGAGATCCCTTTGGTAAAGGGATGCTTCCTGGGAGTCTCGCTGGGGCCTCTCAGCCGACTGACGAGAAGTGCAGATGCACTGGCCTATTGCCCTCGCATAAATGGCTAAAGGGGCAGGATATTCCTAACTAGAATCAGGATTTTTCTGTTGGCTCCTGCCCATACCAAATAATGAAAATGTTTTCGAGGAGCAATTGACATACTCAGAGCAAGGTCTGTTTTCCAGGATCTGATTCCTGGAAAAGGGAAGGGGATTCAGGAATACTGCTGAGTGAAGGCCAGGATTGTGTCTCAGTGGTAGAGCACTTGCCTTGCAGATATGAGACAGCCCTGGGTTCAGTCCCCAGAACAACAAACACTAACAAGGGGCTGCAGAGGTAGTGTAGTGGGTAAGTGTGATTGCCTTGCACACTGCTGACCCTGGCATCACATCCCAGCACCCTGTTTGGTCTCTGACATCCTGCCAGGAGTGGTCTCTGAGTGCAGAGCCAGGAGTAAACTCTTAACATTGCCAAGTGTGTCCCCCCCAGAAATCAAAGAAAAACTACACTGTCAAGAGCTGATTGGGTTAGAGCATTTGCCTTGCATAAGACTGATACAGGTTTGCTCTTTGGTGTCCATCTGGTCTCCCAAGCATCACCAGAAGTGATCCCTGAGCACAGCGCCAGAAGTAAGCTCTGAGCACCACTGGGTGTGGAACAAAATACAAATAACCACCCAAGGAATATTGGATAGAGAACAGTTCAAATCAAATTGTTTTGTTTGGGTCACCCCCAGCAGTGCTCAGAGGTTACTTTTGGCTCTGCACTCAGGAATCACTGCTGGTGGGACTTGGGGAACCATACGGATGTTGGGGATCCAACGCATACCAGGCAAGCTCCTTACTTTGTACTGTGTCTCCCGCCTCCTCAAAATCAGTCTGAACTCTGACTTACATTTGTTTATATCTAAGACTTTTCCTTTCTTTTCTTGCAGTTGAAGGTAGTAAGGAGTATTAGGATTCTGGTCCTCCCAACAAAGGAAAAGTTTGGGAAAATCAAATCTGAACTGAGCACTGAGTCAGGCCTTTTTAGCAGCCTGATTCTTTTTATTGGGAGGTGGGGGGATGGGGCCACATCCAGTGGTGCTCATCTGGAGTCTTTATGGGTAGTATTTATGGAGAGCATCTGCGGTTCTTGGAATTGAACTTGGGTGCATGCGAGCACCTAAATTTCTGTACTATCTTGCAGAAGTTGTGATAACCTTATTCTTATTGCAGCACTTATTTGTTTGGTTTTGGGCCATATTCAACAGTACGGGGGGTTCTTCCCAGCAGTGTTTGGCGCACTATGGGAATAGAACCAGGGGCCCCTGCATATAGATAATTTCGTCTCGAGCTGTCGCCCAAGCTTGTGCCTGGGTTGTGAGCTAACAGTGAGCACAGTACAGTGGAGTGGCTTGTGAAGCTGTATCCTCTGACCTCACTGTGCCTGCAGGAGGGAGGCCTTGTCGGGTATCTGCCCCAGGTGACGTCCTCTCAATGACAAGGGCACGAAATGAACTGAGGCTCATGGAAGATTCCAGCAAATCTTCCCTGAGTCCATGTGCATTCCTGACTCACTTCCAGGAAGGACTTTATTTCTCAATCTAGAACAGTTGTTCTACCTCTTAATTTCTACCAGAGAGAATCAGAGCTCTGTAGCTTTTTCTGGACTGGAAGGAGTTGTAGGCTAACTTGTTTCCCTGAAAAGAATGTTCAGAATTCATTTGCCAGGCAAGACAGTCAGAAAAGCAGGGAGGCAGGATCTGCCTCCTGTGCCCACAGCTTTGGCGTGTTGTCCCTGTCTGGATGGTGTGGATCATTACTCATTGCTCATTTGTCATGTCCTGTTTGGGGTGTGGCCTCCCCTGTAGTTTAGTGCTGGCCTTGTGCTGTCTCTAAGCCTCACTTCCTACTCCTGGCTTGTCCTTGGCCGGAGGGTCTCTTCATTACTCATTGTTTGCCCCTCTGGGCAGCAAACTTCAGTGGTCATATGCTAGGACTAGTGTTCCTCTTTGGTCTCAGCCCCTCCTTGTCTCCTTTTAATGTCCAAAGGCAGAGAGCCAGAACAGAACTGTTCCCTCCAGACCTGTTCTGATTCTCTTTCCTTTTCAGCAGTGCCCATTGACACTGGCATTCCAGTTCCAGGCTAGAGGGTTGGGTTGTGGGGACCTTTTCTTTTGGGGCCAAACCCCATGGTGCTCAGGGTTTAGTTCTGACTCTGTTCAGGGAACACACCTGCTAGGGCTTAGGGGACCATATGTGGTGCTGGGTATTGAACTGGGTTCGACTACATGAACGGCAAGTGCCCTACTTGCTGGACCATCTCTCCAGCCCTGGGGACCACCTTTTTTTTTTAATTCTTTAGGCTCCCAGTCTGGAGTGGTGGTTAGTACCACCCCACCCTTGCCTTCCACCCACACACTCTGCTTGTCTCTGTGCAGGACCCTTGAATATCTGTGAAGAAATGACAATACTGCATGGGGGCTTCTTGCTGGCTGAGCAGCTGTTCCACCCTAAAGTCCTGTCCGAACTGACCAAATCAGACTGGGAGCATGTTGGGCGGCCGATTGTGGAGGCCTTGAAGGAGATCTCGGCCATAGCAGACTCGCAGCCGTGTACCTGGAAGAAGAAGGCTCTGATTGTCATCTGGACCAAGGTTCTTCAGCCCTCTCCTGCCAGCCCTTCTGACACTGAAACTCGCTGGCAGGAAGATGTATTCTTCTCGGTGGGCAACATGATCCCGACCATCAACCACACGGTCCTTTTTGAGCTGCTCAAATCCTTGGAAGCTTCCGGACTCTTCATCCAGCTCCTGATGGCCCTGCCCAACACCATCTGCCGCTCGGAGCTGGAGCACTTTCTGGAGCACATGCGCACTGACACTTCTTCACAGGACGTGGCCTTCTTCCTCGATGTCTGGTGGGAGATGATGAAACACAAGGGCAACCAGCAGGACCCCCTGCTCTCCCAGTTTCGGGCCATGGCCCATCAGTATGTCTCAGCAGCCGATGAGTTCTCCCACCCGCCGAAGAGGTTTAAGTCGGACCCGGATGTGAGTCCCACCATGCCCTTGCTGGCCATGCTGCTCAGCGGGCTGAAGCAAATCCAGAGCAGCATCTTGTGCCCCAGGATGAAGTGCTGCGCCCTGGCCAACCTGGCTGACATGCTCACCGTCTTTGCCCTGACGGAGGACGACCCCCAGGAAGTGTCGGCCACTGTGTATCTAGACAAACTGGCCACAGTGATCTCCGTGTGGAACTCGGACACTCAGAACCCATACCACCAGCAGGCGCTCGCGGAAAAGGTGAGGGAGGCGGAGCGGGACGTCAGCCTGACCTCTCTGGCCAGGCTCCCCAACGAGACCGTCTTCATGGGGTTCGAGTTCATACGCGGCCTGCTGGGGGAGTGGGGGGAGGAGCTGCAGGCCCTGCTCGACAGCAGCCAGGGCACCAGCTATGACAGCTACCGGCTCTGCGACAGTCTCACTTCCTTCAGCCAGAACCTGAAGCTGTTCCTGGACAACGCCACCTTGTCCAAGGAGGAGCGGCAAGTGGTCTCAGAGCTGGCGGAGTGTGTGGCGGACTTCCTGAAGAAAACGGCCAGGGTCCTGAAGCACAAAGGCTTTGAGAAGGATATCACGGCTGCCATCGCCATGGCCATAATTGAGCAGAAGATGGACCGGCACATGGAAGTGTGCTACATTTTTGCTTCGGAGAAGAGATGGGCCTTCTCCCCCGAGTGGCTGACCTGTCTCGTGAACAACCAGGCCCTCTTCCAAGAGCCAGCGTTGGTGCTGATGCTGCTAGAGACGGTGATTGAGGTCAGTGTGGCAGACCGAGCCATCCCTGAATCTCAGGTCAAGCAAGTCATCACCTTGATTCTGGGATGTTATGCCAGCCTGTCGCTGCCTGATAAAAACAAAGTCCTCTCCGGCGTCCTGTCTTCCTGGGGCTGGGAGGGGCTCTCTGCAAAGTTGTCGGTTTACTTGGAGGGGTTTCAGGATGACCTCAATGTGACTTTTAACCAGCTTGTACAGAGCCCCTCCGAGCAAGGCTTGGCCAAAGCGGTAGCGTCTGTGGCCCGCCTGCTGATTCTGAGCCCAGAGGTGACGGTGAAGAAGATGTGTGTCATGGCTGTCAGCCATCTCGGTGCCCACAGGTTCCTGGCCCAGATTCTCACCTCCTTCCCTGCGCTCAAGTGCTCGCGAGAGCAGGATGCAAGTCCAGACTCCACACTCGTAGTGTCATGCCTCAAAGAAGCCGTCTGGGGGAAGCTGGCGACACCCAAGGAAGAAAAGCAGTTCTTGGAGCTCGTAAACTGCCTGATGAACCCCGTGAAGCCACAGGGGATTCCTGTGGCCACTCTCCTGGAGCCAGATGAGGTGCTGAAAGCATTCGTCCTGCCTTTCTTGATGCTCGATGTCAAAGAGGTGGAGCTGAGCGTGAAGATCTTCATCCAGAGCCTAGAAGCCAACGCATGCCTAGAGGAATATTGGCTCCAGACCTGCTCCCCATTTCCCCTCATCTTCAGCGTCTGCCAGCTCCTGGATGGCTTTAGCAAATACTGGCAGCTGCCCAAGGAGAAGCGGTGCCTCTCCCTGGACGGGAAGGATCAGGTGATCCATATCCTGGATCTCCTTTGCGAGGCCGTCTTGGCTAACGTTGAGACCATCTCCCCAGACACCTGGACCAAGTCCCTGTCATGGCTCCACCGGAAGCTGGAGCAGCTGGACTGGACAGTGGGCCTGAGACTGAAGAATTTCTTTGAGGGCCACTTTAAGTGTGAAGTGCCAGCCACACTCTTTGAGATCTGTAAGCTTTCTGAGGACGAGTGGACCTCACAGGCCCACCCGGGCTACGGGCCGGGCACCGGGCTGCTGGCCTGGATGGAATGCTGCTCCATCTCCAAGGGCATCTCGGAGCAAATGCTCTCTCTCTTGGTGATGGATTTGAGCAACCCCGAGGAGGTCAGACTATTCAGCAAGGGCTTTCTGGTGGCTCTGGTGCAGCTGCTGCCATGGTGCAGCACCCAGGAGTGGCAGTGCCTTCACCAGCTGACCAGGAGGCTGTTGGAGCAGCAGCTCCTGCATGTCCCATACAGCCTGGAATATATTCAGTTTGTTCCTCTCCTCAACCTGAAGCCGTTCGCCCAGGAGCTGCAGCTCTCCGTTCTCTTCCTGAGAGTCTTTCAGTTTCTCTGTAGCCAGAGTTGTCGCAATTGGCTTCCCTTGGATGGCTGGTGCCATGTGGTCAAACTCCTTTGTGGCAGCCTGACCAACCTCCTGGACACCATCAGGTCAATACAGTCTGCTGGCCCCTGGGCCCAGGGACATGAGCATGACCTGACCCAGGAAAGCCTCTTTGTTTACACGCAGGTGTTCTGTCATGTGCTGCACATCATGGCCATGCTCCACCAAGATGTGTGTGACCCTCTCTATGTGTTGGCCCTAGAAATTCTCACCAGCTACGAAACCCTGAGCAAGACCAACCCTTCAGTGAGCTCCGTGTTCCAGAAGGCCAATGAGCAGCGCTTCTTAAAGTCCATCGCGAAGAACATTACCCCAGAGGAGCGGCGCCAAACTCTGCTGCAGAAGATCAGCAACTTCTGACCTCTGCAGGTCAGAACCCAGCGGTGCCTCAACTTGGCAGGCTCCACGGGGGCATAAGCTAAGCAGCTCAGACTTAGTCCTGTGAACCTGGACACAAGCTAAAACGCCAACAGCCATAACTGCAAAAAAAAAGTTTCTTAGGTATTTGCTATATACAGAGCATAATAAAATTCTCTTGCGTTTCCACTTGTGTCTTGAGTTCATCAGCCATGCTATAGGCTTAGATGCTCTTGAAACTGGGCTCAGCCCAAGTCAAGGTGGAAGACAGGTTCGTAACTGGACTTCACCCTCAAACTTGGCAGATGAAACCCAAGTGGGCAAATCACAGGGAACGACTGTGTGTTCTACACTGATAACCTCTTCATAGGGCATTCTGCGGTACCTTCAAAGGGGCATCAACTGTGCCAAGATTTCTATTTGGCCACCAGTGGGTAGTGAGACTTGTTATCTCTCTGTAAAATAGAACTAGTTCAAAAAAATGAAATGTCAGAGGGGTATGTGCTTAATTAGTATCAGACACACTGGTGAAGGGTGTCGGGTTGGAACAATGTATAATAGTATTATACCTGGTACCTCAATAAAAATGATTAAAAAATTTTTAAGGTTATCTTCTGAATGATGGTCTTCTGCCAGGATTTTTGCTTTTCTTTGGGGGGTGGGGGCAGGGATCTGCTAGTATTAAAAAAATGCTGCTTAACCTGGTATGCCTGGATCGTGTGGCAGTAATACTCTGCTGGTTTATAGATAATTTGTATTGCACTGTCCTCTTCTTTTGGGGACGTTGGGGGGCAGACTTGGTGACACTCAAAGGTTACTTCTGGCTCTGCACTTCAGGAATCATGCGGTGGTAGTGCTTGGGATCTATATGGAGATCGGGATTGAACCTGGGTTGGCATTATGCAAGGCAAACTCCCTACCCGCTGTGCTATCTCTCCAGCCCCTGCCATACAGTCTTAACTCTGGTAAACTTAGGCTGTACTCAAGATCTAGTAAACAACAGAGCTGTGTTTAAAATCTGGGTATCTTCTGCCAGATGTGAGTTGTCCTGGTTTTTTAAGAATGAATGGGAATGGAGTATGTTAAAGCATAGAAATGGGACTTTTAAGAGGTCCAGGGTACAAGACAACTTTAAAACTGGGTGCCAAGAAAGGGGCTTGGAAAATGAGTGCCTATCACTTAACCTAAAGGGCACAAGTCTCCCTTTCATGCAGTGGATTGGCCCTGTGACATCTATTGGTGTCTACCCTCCTAATGGAGAAGACAGTTCTAGGAACATTGCACTAGAACTCCAAGAGCCTGCCATGTCTAGAACCATGAGGCATCAGCAGTGGTTTGCAACCATCAGTCTGCTGATGGTCCAGTTATTTCCTGTCTACCGAGAAAATGCTGCTTGATGTGGTATGCCTGGACCATGTTAGCAGTATTTATTCTAAATACTGATCTATAGATATTTATATTCTACTGTCCTCTAGTTTTTTGAGCCACACCTGGTGATGCTCAGGGTTTACTCCTGACTGCACTCAGGAATCACTCCTGGTGGTGCTTGGAGGAACCATATGGGATGCCAGGGATCGAGCCTGGGTTGGCCACTTGCAAGGCAAGTGCTCTACTGCTGTGCTATCTCTCTGGCCCTTCTTGTTTCTGCCTCAGTTTTCCGTGAAATAGTTCTTGTCACTGGTCCTCAAGTATGAGATGCTGCAAACCACAATTGGAGGAAGGTATGTACCAGCTGAATGCATGAACATCTGTGCCCGCCCGACATCCAGAGTGAACATGCCAGAAGTAACCACAGTGCAGGGCAAGTCCCAGGATGAGGCTCACAGGTACTGATGGATTTGCAAGTGAGAAGTTGGATAATAGTGCAGTTTGAAGACAACGAGTGACTGAGAAAAGGTACACAGAAAACAAAACAGTAAAAAAAAAAATTCTATTTTTTACGTGGAACCCATGACAGGCTGAAATAGTCCAAATTTGAAACACTATTATTCAGAACTTTAAAATTCATGGACAACAATGAATTAAAAGGCACTTTTTAAAAAATTCATTATCATTTGAAAACTTCGTGGTAATGCAGTTTCTTGGCACCGGAGGATTCTGTCTGCAGCCAGAGGGCGGAGGAGTCTGGCCCTGGGTCGCATTCTGCAAGGGCTGGCCCGCACTCTACAGCCCTTCTGTGGCTGGGTCAGTGCACACGAACGGGCTGTGCCTGGGCCGCGAGCGCTTTATCAGGGCAGGCTGGGTGAGCTCACAGTCGAGTAGAGAAGTCCATTTCTACTTCATGTGAAAAGGACAATGTCAAGTGGTGGGGTTCCCCAAGTAAGAACTACCAAAGTCATCACTTGAACCCCAGGAGGTTTGAGAGTACCCTGTGCTTGTGGATATGGGGAGAGTTGAGCTTGTGGGGGACACGTTGAAAGGAGTAATACTTTGACAAGCTCATGTGTTTGACGCTGGTCTTACTGACCATCGGGTCCCCCACTTACCCAAGTGTTTCAGGTTCTTTCCCTGCTGCCCACCCCTGGCCCATGAGACCTCTGATGGGAAAAAAAAAATCCACGGACCAGGATTTACTGTTGGCACAAGGATGAGGATGAGGCAAAGAACGGGTGGGTGTTTAGTAAACAATATAAAAGGACCCGCCCACAGTTAAGTTGTCAAGGCCATCACTACAAAGTGTTTTCAGAGCCACCGCTGGCCTTTGCTGGCCCAGCATGTGTGGCTGCTGTCCTGAGTGGAAAGATGGGGAGCTGCTGATAGCAGGGCCAGGCTGGGGTCCAGACACTTAGTCACCCTATTCACCTATCTTCACACTCCATGCTTCTGCCTCCTGGAACCATGGAGATAAAGGTCCAGGGAAGGGTCGCTGGCCCCATTGAAACCACCATGCTGCCAATGGAGGTCTAACAAGATTTAAGAGTTTTTACTAAGAAAAAAGTGCTTTTGCAAAAAAGGTGTGTGTGTGTGTGTGTGTGTGTGTGTGTGTGTGTGTGTGTGTGTGTGCATTGTTTAGAAAAAATCTCAAACCCATCTGCTTACCAATACTCAAAAGGGTGAGGTTACCCAGGGCAGTTTGGTCCATGGAACAGTGAGCAGATGAGGTAGCACCCTCACTGACTCCTGGCAGCAGTTAACCATCCTTTTTGGCAGGGGGAGTATCAAAGAGCCGGGCTGCCTTCTTGCACAGCAGAGAGAACCAGTAGATCTGGGGAGCGATGAGGAAGGCATTGGCCACATTGCAGTAGAAAGGGATGTGGAATGGCACTCGGTACAGGCTCAGTTCCTGCTGCTGCCCATAGGACCAGTACATGAAGGGGAACAGAAGGATTCGGCAGGCAAGGAAAGTGGACAGTGTGAGGATTCCATTCACCTTGTACAGGAGGGTGTGCTGCTGCTTGAACTGTAAACAGAAAAAGGAAGAAATATGGGGCCAGGGCAATAGTACAGGAGATGGGTGCAGGCCTTGCCTGCAGCTACCCGGGGTTTGATCCCCAGCACCCCACTGGTCCCGGAGCTCTGCCAGAAGTGATCGCTGAGTGCAGAGCCAGGAGTAAGTCCTAAGCACTGCTCTGATGTGACCCAAAAACTGCACCATCACCAATACTCTCACTGTCTTCCCGTTGTTCATCGATTTGCTCGAGCGGGCCCAGTAACATTGTGAGACTTGTTACTGTGTTTGGCATATCTAATATGTCACGGGTAGCTTGCCAGGCTTTGCTGTGCAGGCGAGATACTCTCAGTAGCTTGCTGGGCTCTCCGAGAGGGGCAGAGGAATCGAACTCGGGTTGGCCGTGTCGGCAGTGTGCAAGGCAAACACCCTACCCGCTGTGCTATCGCTACAGCCCACCAGCAATAAAGAGAAGGAATAGTGTCAACAAGAGGGTGGGGCTGCAAGAATCAAACAGCCCAAGTTCCACACCAATGACCATGCACCTAAGTCCCTGACACTCGTGGAAAAGATGTCTGAGGATTTCTATCTGCACAGAGCCTTGGAATTTTTTCACTGATACACTGTCCAACCACAGGAAGTGTGGACTTGAGAAAAGCTGTGGCCAAAATACAGTACATAAAAAAAGACTATCACATTTTGGGGCTGGAGCGATAGCACAGCAGGTAGGGCATTTGCCTTGCGTGCTGCCAACCTGGGTTCAATTCCCAGCATCCCATATGGTCCCCCGAGCACCACCAGGAGTGATTCCTGAGTGCAGAGCCAGGAGTAAACCTTGAGCATTGCCAGGTGTGACCCAAAAAGCAAAACAAACAAACGAACAAAAAACTACACATTTGAACATCTGATTCTGTTCACCCCACCCCTGGCACCTTTAAGTCTGTTTACGGGTCTCTCACACCCCTGGTGATTCTTAATTCTCAGGGATTACGCCAAGCCCCACGAGCTACCAGAGTCTGCCCCTTAGCTTTGTTTCTGCCAGTGCGTTTCTACATGCCTGAATCAGAACTCTGCCCAGTGACACAAACGGAGTGCTCAGTTCTGCGGTGAAGATGCAGCCAACAAAGAAATCCCCAAGTTCTCCTCGAAATCTCTGGAGAGGAAAAAGAGAAATAAAATCGGGAGGTTAGAGAACCAGTGGGAAGAAAATTCTAACTGAGGTTATAAAAAGGGTGACTGGGATTGAGAAGGGACAGGGAAATGTTAAAGGGGCCAGCATAGGCCCATTCATTCTGCTGCTGCCATAGTAAAATCTGGCCCCCTGAAACTCCAGAAGCAAGTCCAAAGGGGGCACACACCCAGCTTTCTCTGAATTTTTAATGGAGCCTACTTTTGGGTATCCAACTCAGTCATGCCAAGGGCACCTGATCCTATACTATATGTTCAGGTCCCAAAGCAATCAATAAAGATTTGTTAAAGAATACATAGGCTGGAGAGCTAGTACAATGGATATAGCATTTGCCTTGCAAGTTGCTGACCAGGGTTCTATCCCTGGAATCCCATATGGTTCCCCAAGCACCACCAGGAGTGATTCCTGAATCAGGAGTAACCCCTGAGCATCGCCGGGTGTGACTCCCCACCCCCCACCAAAAAAGATACAATATCCCCACCCACTCCTTCCCTCTTTCCCTTTTTGCTTTCTGGGGAAATTAGATTTATAGCAACTTCTCTTAGTGGAAAGTTAGCAAGCAGTGTCATCTAGTAGGCACACAAGTATTATTTGTTTCCTCTCCCTTGTTGGGGGAACTTTTACTGGAGGATGGAGAGGAAATGGGTCTGGGGAGAAATCACTAGTCTAGATGCTTACATATAAAGTCATTACAGAGACTGTGATTTTCTGAGAATCAAAGTAAGGCACAAAATTCTCAAAGCAAATAATCACTTGACTGGGATACTCTTGGTTTTTTATCTTATATTTTTTGGGGGAAAGAAGGGGGTCCAACCACCAGCCCTGGCTCTATGTTCAGGGATCACTTCTAGCAGAGTTTAGGAGATCATATGTGGAGCCCAAGGATCGAACCAGGGTTAGCTGCATGCAAGACAAGTATCTAAATCCTAAATATTTCTGGACCCTACTCTCATCATTTTTTAAAAAAAATTTTATAGAAGTCACAAAGGCCCTGAGCTGGAACGATAGCATAGTGGGCAGGGTGTTTGCCTTGTATGCGGCCAACCTGGGTTCGATTTCTCTCAGGGAGCCCGGCAAGCTACCAAGAGTATTCTGCCTGCATGGCAAAGCCTGGCAAGCTACCTGTGACGTATTCAATATGCCAAAAACAGTACCAACAAGTCTCACAATGGAGACATTACTGGTGCCCGCTCGAGAAAATCGACAAACAACGGGAGGACAGTTCTACAGAGCTACAGTCACAAAGGCTCTACGATGCTTTAGATCACACTCAGGAACTCAGGACCATATTTGAGGCTCTAGGTTTGATGCTCAGCACTCTAAAAATAATTTATTTTTTATTTATTTATTTTTTCTACCTGAGCATCAGGTTGATGCTCAGGGGTTACTCCTGGCTCTGCACTCAGGACTTATTCCTGGTGGTGTTCAGGGGGCCATATGAGATGCCAGGAGTCAAACCCAGGTGGGCTGCACGCAAGGCAAATGCCGTCCCCGCTGTACTATCTCTCCAGCCCCCAAGAAATTATTATGCTGTTTCGTATGATGCCCATTTTACATTGTTTTAACATTGTATGAATTTTTTAAAAAAGACAGAACTTCTGACAGATGCTCGAGAAGGACAGAGGCCAGGGGGATTGCCAGTTGGAAGGATCACAAATATTTCAGATTTCATCTTCGACATGATATGCCTGGGCACTCTAACTGTAGCAGTGTCTGGTACAAGGAGTGCAGGTGAGGACAGGAATAGTGGGGCAATCTTCACACCTGCATGATGGTCAGGAGGCCCCGTTTGGAGGACCAAGGCCACCATTGGCATGCGGAAGGCCATACCTGCGTAACTGGCACAAGGATAAACAGAATGACTGCATGGTGCGTGATCATGAGGCGGTTTTTACTTAGGAAGCTTCGGAAAACGGTGAAGGAGTATCTGCAGCTGTGGTCTCTGGTTCGGTACCACTCACAGAGGTACATGGCATAGGTGTCATAGATCATGTATGGAATCAAAAACCAGACATATTCTCGGGCCAGCCAGTGCCTGAAAGAAAGCATTGAATGATGAAATAATTGTGGCTATAAATATGGAGGGCTCAGTGCACCTTCTTCTTAAACACATCCCCTTCATCCTCCTATAACTTTTTTTTTCTTTTTTTGTGACTGTGCTCAGGGATATGTCTGGTAGGGCTTGGAGACCATATGGGGTACAGGGAATTGAACCCGGGCCACTTCAAGGCAAATACCCTACTCTACTCTAGCCCCCCCCTTTTTTTTAACTCCAAATAGTTTACATTGAAATTGCTGGAACTTACAAGTAATAAGAGTGAATAGCTGTCAATCCCAATCAGGAACCAGAGCAGTAGGGGGCAGGCTTTTCCTACAGGGCATCGAGTTAGATCCCCAACACTATGGTTCCCCGACTACTGCTACAAGTAATCCCCAAGCACAAAGTCAGAAGCAGCCCCTGAGTCCCCTAGGTGTGACCCAAAGCCAAAAATAAAATAAATTGCAGGTCTGGACCAGGGATATGTCTCAAACGGCTTTAGTACATGCCAGTACCATATGGTTCCATGAGCACAAATGGGGGAGACTGTTGGCTTGAAGGTAAAATGAGTAACATCAGAATTTCAGGGCAGAATCCTAAGTATCACAGCAGAGAGTTGAAATTCACTCAATACTGTGCATTTCACTGGCTCTCAGTATTTGCTTTATTTAGATGCTCGTCCGTAGTGGATTTTCTGGCATTTCTGTGACAGCTCACTCCGGTACATATATGCATACAAATGAGTCACAGAAACACGAAGTAACTGGTTTGAAATGTGTCCTAAACCTAAGATTTCCACACTACTCAGTTGCTAAACAATTACAACTTTTCTCTTACATCTGCATACAACCCTACTCTCAGGAGTTTCTGGGAGGCCTCCCCAGTCCATTCCTTTACAATTCCAGAATCCAAATTCAACTAAGAAAAATGATTATGTCTGTACATGTGCTCAAGCATTCAAGGACTACCTGACAGTGGTAGCTATCAGCAGAAAAGCGGGGACCAAAGTCAGCATTCCTATTTTTTCATCCAAAGGGGTTGAATCAATATTTGCTCAGTTGAGGGGCCAGAGTGAATGTACAGCAGGTAGGGTGTTTGCCTTGCATGCAGCTGACCCAGGTTCAACCCCCAGCATCCCATATAGTCCCCGATCTCTACCAGGATTGATCCCTGGAAGCAGAACCAGGATTTAGTCCTGAGCATCAATGGGTATGGTCAAAAAACGAATGAATAAAAAAAGTGTGAAAGTCCTTTTTTATGGGCAGGGGGATGGGGTGTGCCACACCTGGTGGTACCTGGGGGTCACTCCTGTTCAGCGTAGAGAACTTATGTTGCCAAAGACTGAACTGAGATGGGCCACAAGCAAGGCAAACACATACTGTTTCTCCAGATTCTGCAAGTCTCTTTTTTTTCTTGGGGCGGGGGGTTTACACCCAGCGATGCTCAGAGGTTACTCCTGGCTCTGCACTCAGGAATTACTCCTGGCGGTGCTCGGGGAACCATATGGGATGCTGGGAATAGAACCCAGGTCGGCCATGTGCAAGGCAAACGCCCTACCCGCTGTGCTATCACTCCAGCCCTGCAAGTCCTTTTACATATAGACATTTAGAAGTTCTGAGGGATCAGAGCAATAGTACGGTGGGAGGGGCTCTTGCCTTATACACAGCCACCCCAGGCTTGATCCCCAACATTCCATATGCTTTCTCAAGCCCCGTCAGGAGTAATTCCTGAGTGCAGAGCCAGGAGTGACCCCTCCCTGAACACTGTTAGATACGGTCCCAAAACAAAAACAAAATGTATACCATCTCAATAAAAGTAAGTTTAGAAAATTGCCTAGAAGTGCAACTCTTTGTCCTTCTAGGATTCTGGCCTCTTTAAGAACCTAACTAGACGGTTACAGAGAAAGCTCAGTGGGCTAGAGTGTAAGCTTTGAAGGCAGGAGGCCTGGGTTCCATTCCCCATTGGAACAACCATCCAGTTCCAAGTCAATTACTGAGCCAAGTACTGGGCCAACAGGTACCAAGCTAGAAGTAGCAAGTATCAAACCGGGGTAGTCACTGCACGTGAACACAAAGAAGACACTAACTGGAGACTGGAGAGAGAGTTCAAAGGTTTGCATTCATATTCTATTAAAAAGCACTGGGATTTGATCCCTGGCACTACATGGTCCCAGAGCACTGGCTGGTGTAACCCCCTCCCCCAAGTAAAAAATCAAAAGCAAAAAAATTAATTAAATCCCTGGTCCTCCACCGTATCCAGCATATAATTTGGCCCCCCCCCTTTTTTTGTCTGCTTTCCTTGCCTATTATAGCTATTTGATATGCAGGTATAAGATAAAGAGGCATATAAGAAGGAAAAATATGAATGTACAGTATTTGAACCCCAAAAGATTTTTATTTTTAAAGTTTCAGGTTTCCATACCCGATAGTTGTTGAGGGCTTGGGGTGAGGGGGTGGGGTAGTGATCCAACCCAGCACGCAAAGCAATCACTCCACCTGTTGAGCCATCACTCTCGTCCTTAGGCTGTATGATCTGGGGCCACTATCTGCAACTCTGCATTCATGGAAAGGTGGAGGGCAAAGAAAGGTGGTGCCTAACTTCATTTTTTTTTTAACTTTTGGTAGGGGGAGACACCTGGCAGTGCTCAGAGCTTACTCCTGGTTCTGTGCTCAGGGACCTCTTCTTGTAGTGCTTGGGGAAGACCAGGTTCCAGGAATCAAACCCAGCTCAGAGACATACAAGGCAAGTGTCCTACCCTCTGTGCTATCTCTCCAGTCCTATGTCTGTATTTTGCAATAACAAAACCTAAGGCATAAAGATACACAAAACCAAGGAGGAACCTAAAAAATTTAAACAACAAAAAACCCAATGGACCATTGGCTTGCTGTCCTACTCAAGAACTCAAACAGAGGGTTTCTGAGGGGGAATTCAACAATGGAGCTATAGAAGTGAAAGCTAATCGTAGGCAAAGAACTCTTTCTGAAATGTGCGGTGGTTGCCTGCTGCTTGCCCCCATGCCTGTGCAAAGCAGGGGCTACGGCCAAGACTGGCTCAGTTTTGTCTGCAGAGGAGGCTGCTTTCCAACTGAACCGGGGACAGGAGGGAGAGAGAGAAAGAGTGGGGAGGGAGAGAGAGGAGAGAGGAGGATAGGAGGGAGAGAGAGAGAGCGGGGAGGGAGAGAGAGGAGAGAGGAGGACAGGAGGGAGGGAGAGAGAGCGGGGAGGGAGAGAGAGGAGAGAGGAAAGAAAGAGGGAGGAGAGAGCGCGAGAGAGAGCTGTAGGACAAGATAACAGTCAACCAAGATAAAACTTGGGGCTGGGCAAGCTACTGTTACGGCCGATGAGTGTGATCAGGATGATCTTCCCTCCGCCTTGGTGACGAACAGCTCATCACCAAGAGCTGCTTTCACTTGGGACTCACAAACATGCTCCAAGAAGAAAATCATGAAAATCATCAGAGGATTAATCCCAAGTGAGAGCCAGTCATTAAAATCTCTGGCTTCTGGGGCTTTCCTCCTGTTCCAGTCTCAACAGGCGAAAAGCAGGTCACTTTGTAATATCAACAGGGGAAAAAAAAAAAAAGCCAGGGACGCTTCTGAGATGGCCCTGGCACATTTGGTTCTCATCCTGCAACTTAGCTAAGAGAAGGGGAGACGGGTTCTAGGAAGACTGGTCAAAAAAAAAAAGTGGGGAGTGGCTTTAAACAAAAAGAAGTTTAAAAGAACTACCACTGCCCAGTTCTGAATACTAGGGACTACTCCAATCTTTATGGTAGGTTTCTCCAGATGGACATTTCCTGAGCTGCTCCAGACCACCCCCCCACACACACACACGCGCACACACACATTCACACTCTCTCTTTCTCGGTTTTCTGAAAGCTCTCTGCAAATCTAGAGGGAGGACAAGAACAGCTTCAGTAAGGAAGGGTTTGTGGGGCTCTTCCTCTCCATAGGAGTGCTCTGCTAACCACACTGGACCCATCCAGGGGAAAGAATGCGCCAGAGCAGGTCCCCGGGGGAGAGCAAGTCAAGAAGCTTTAAAAACCCGACCTACTCCCCTTTCTGAATCATTTTCACACTTATCTATCACACGCACAACTGGGAGGGGCCGGTGATGGGGCTCCGAGGAGAACTGGCTTGGCATGACTGCGGCCCTGGGTTCAAACCGTCGTCTCCCGCCCAAATGAACCGCTGGGGCCACTCTGTCCTTACACAGGTCCCCCCGCGAGAAATGGCACTCAAGAGCGTTTCTTCCGTTTACTTTCTCAGCAGCTGCCGCGCGCTTTAAAGCTCTGGGGAGAGGAGGAGGGGACTAACCCTGGTCCCGGAGTTTTCCATCAATCAACTCCCCCAGTGCCTGAGCTAAGGGAGAGCTGAGAGAGCGTGTGCGCGCAGCCCGACGTGGAGACTCGGGCGGAGCACGGCGCTGCCACCACGCTGCCCTCCCCGGGCCCCTGGCCCCTACCTGTCGGTGATCACGTCTCTGCAGGAGCGGACGATGATGATCCCCGAGCCGGTGGCCAGCACCGCCTGCACCGAAGAGACCAGCCTGCGGCGGGGAGAAGGGAGGAGCGCGCCGTCAGTCCCGGGGCGTCCCCTGGAAGTTCCCCGGCCCCTCGGGGGCAGCACGCGCGGGGCCGCCGAGAGGGGGCGAGGAGCCCGGCGGGCAGCCCCCGGCGCTTCCTGTCGCCGCCCCCCTCCGCCCCGCTCCGCCCCGCCCTCCGCGGGGCCCGGGCCGCCCGCCCGCCGCGCGCCCACCCACCTGGTACTGATCATGGCGCGGTCCGAGTCGCTCCATTGCGGCCGCGCGCGGCGCAGCCCCCAGGTGCAGAGCGCGAAGAGCCCGGGGAAGAAGAGCGCGCCCCCGGCCAGCGGCAGCAGCATGGGTGCGGGGGCCCGGCCGCCTGTGGCCGCCGCTCGGCGTGGCTCCTAGCTCCGCGCCTCGGCGCCTGGCGCTGCCCGCGCGCCGCCCGCCCTTAAGTCTCGCCCTCCGCCCTCCACCCCCGCCCGCCCGCCCGGCCCGGCCCGGCCCGCCGCCGCCGCTCCGGCCGCCGCGGGGCGCTGGCCCGGAGCCCGCAGCGCCAGCCTCCGCGTGACCGGGCGGGCGGCCGCGATAGGCGCGGGCCGGCCGGCCGGGGCGGGGTCTGGCGGCCGCCGCCCCCGGGCCGCGAGGCTCCCCGGCTTCCCCCGCCGGCGAGGGGCCGCGGGACCGAGCCGCTGCCCCCTTGGCTCCCGAGAGCGCCCGCGCTGCGCCCCGACACTCCCGAGCGGCCGCGGGCCGGCGGCAGGCGCGGGCAGGGCCGCGGCTCCCGGGGGCTTCTGTTCCGTCACCGCGGTCCCCCCCGGGGGAGGGGGCCCGCACCTGCCCCCGGCCCTCTCTCCCCTCCCCCTCCCCCCGGCCGGGGGCGCAGGGGACGGCGGGCTGGGGGCTCTGGGGTGGGTCCCCGAGAAAGGCAGGTCGGAGATGCGCCGGCCGAGCCCGGGCACCCGGGGAGGCGAGGACCGTGCGGTGGGCATCCCTCTGGGGGAGGAAGGAAAGGGCGGGCTTGGGGTGGCCGGCGGCCAGCCCCGCTTATCGACCGACTGAGCAAACACTCCCGAGTCCAAGTGTGAGGCTTGGGGAAATGGTCTTTCCGTGTCCCGCCAAGGGCTGCCGGTCCGGTCCAGCCGAGGGGCTGCTCCCCCAAGCCCTCCGATCCCGCCACCCAGCAGGGCGGGCAGTTCCTCTCCATCTACATATCGAGGCGGAATATCAAATCTGCAGCCTTTCTGTGGTGCGGCTGCTTGGTTTTGGGTCGAGATACTATCCAGGCCTAGTGACTGTTTTTGTTGTTGACAACGTGTCTTTATCTGAAGGCTCCCGGGCCAGGTCCCCACACTTGAAAGGCTTGGAATTGATCTCCTTTTCGCTCTGTACCAATCATGGGGCGCTCCAGTCTCACTGCCTTCTCTCCTCCTGGCCCTGCCAAAGCTTTACTCTGCCTTGGTCGGTACCATTCTCAGCTAACGAACGGTTCACTTAGGTCTCCTGCAACTGTGTCAAGCCCTGCCCTGCAAAACGCGGACAAAAGTCCTGTTAAGAGGACTCTGGGGCTGCCTTAGGAGGGGCTGAACAAACTTCTTTAAAACTCTTCCAGCTCTAAATTCTTTTATTTACTTATTATTATTATTATTATTATTATTATTATTTTGGATGTTGGGGCACACGCACTCAGGGCTTACTCCTGGCTCTGTGTTCAGGGGTCACTAGGTGACCATACGGGATGCCAGGGATTGAACCCCTGGACTGGCCACCTACAAGGCAAGTGTCTTAGCTGCTGTACTCTGGCTCTGGCACCCCCAGCGCTAAATTATTTCAATTCTGTGATTTTCATAAGGTAACAGATGACTTCTATTTGATGCCAATTAAAATTTCTCTATCACTGACAGTTTCTGGTGTAAAAACAGAGCTTTGAAATATCTTTCTACTTGTTCATGGAAGGGCTTTAACCAACATTAAGGTAGCAGAAGTTTCTTCCACTTAAGTTGAGCCTCTAACTCCCAAATTCACTACCAACATAATGCTGAGATGAGACAGACACTTCAGCTGGTACCAATGTATCAACAAATGCAAAGTGTTGTTCACATTTGCATGTGGACAAAGGACCGCTATGTGTAAATTTCCATTCTCTGGAGAAGGAAAAATCCTTGGGTTTGGAAAATTGGTTCAACAGCAGAGCATGTGCCTTGTACCATCCCTGATACACACATACTGATACACACATACACACATACTGATCACTGCAGCACCACAAAGGGTGATCTCTGGTGCTGTTGCGAGCACCACAGCTAAAGCCTATAACTCCCAAACCCACCCTCAGAGTACCACAACTGTGTGGTACTGCAACCAAATGTGTGATTCCATTTATCAATGTAACAAGAAGAGGAAAGGAAGAGGGGGAAACCAGAAATGGTGTGCACTCCACACTCTACTCCCCATCACCCAATTGTCCCAGGCACTTCCAGCTCCAGCTTAGCCAAAGGTTGAGGTTATAAATCCTCCCTGCCTCTCTCCACAAATTAGAAACAGGCACCCAGGAAACAATTTATGGCCTCCAGAGGAAGCTGTTTTTATAGCTCTGAAGGAGTCTATGAAATAACAACAAAACAACAGATGCTTCATGTACTTAAAAAAAAAAAAGCATGTAAAATTTGTTTCCAAAATCAGGTTCCTGATGTCACCAGAATGTTTAAGTTGAATCACCAGAAAACCAACAAGCATAAACATGAGCCCTGGCTTTTTAAGCAACCAAACCCCTGGGGCAAATGATAAAGTCAAATTAAAAGCACCCAGTTCTCCCCCCCCCCCCCAACTTCTACTCATCCTTTAAACATTTCCTCCTCCAGGTTTCAATCCACCTGTCTCTTCTAGGCAGATTTATAAGTTTATTCTCTAAACTGCCTTGGCAAACAGGTAGTGAACATGTTGCTAGGTATCTGTATGTATGTTCCCCCACCACATTGTTAGTTTTTTTTCTTCTTTTTTTTTGGTTACACTCAGCAATGCACAGGGGTTACTCCTGGCTCTGCACGCAGGAATTACTCCTGGCGGTGCTCGGGGGACCATATGGAATGCTGGGAATTGAACCCGGGTCGGCCGCCACGTGCAAGGCAAATGCCCTACCCGCTGCGCTATCTCTCCAGCCCCACACTGTTCGCTCTTTGAAACACAGCTGGTTCTTTTCATTTTGTTTCACAATTTAGGCCTGACATGGTGTGAATGCTTAAGATGTCTGATGCTTTTTAGGTTGGATGGCTTTTGCTTCATGGACACAGCTGGTGGTGCTCAGGAGCTACTCCTGGTTTAGTGGCTGAGGTCACCCTCGTGGTGGCTGAGGAACCTGAATGCAAAGCATGCACTTCAGCCACAGATTCTGGACCACATTGCCAGGGGCCAGCCCAGGTGCTGCTGGGGGACCATATGCGATGCCAGAGATTCGAACCAGTGTCGCGACCACTATAGCTGTGTACAAGCAGTGCCTTATCTCTGATCCCCTAATGCTTTTTTAATTTTTTATTTTAAAAGTATTACTATTATTATTATTGTAACTAAGTTTACATGTTTATAATAGTTCCTAATACTTTTTATTTTTTGGTTTTGGGGCCATGCCACTAAGGGTGCTCAGGGTTTACTACTGTCTCTATATACAGGGATCACTCTTTTTTTTTTTTTATTTTATTAGTGAAACACCATGAGGTACAGTTGTAGACTTACAAACTTTCTTTTTTTTAAAATTTTTTAAAAATTTATTTATTTATTGAATCACTGTGGGAAAAGTTACAGAGCTTTCAGGTTTAGGTTTCAGTCATGTAAATATCAAACACATTTTCAGGGATCACTCTTAGCAAGCTTAGGAGACCATACAGAGTGCCAGGGATGGGATCTGGGTTGACCTGATGCAAGGCAAGCACCCTACCTGCTGTACTAGCTCTCTGGTCCCTTCTAATGTGTTTTAAAGCCAATGTTTACTGAGAACTTACTATGTGCCAGACACTGTATCAAATATTTCACATGGATTATCACACTGGATTCTTACACACACACACAAAAAGAAATCCATTGTCCTCAATGCATATGTGAACAAAATGAGTCCTTTAGACATTAAAAAAAAATTGTCCAAGGTTATAAGGCCAGAGAGATAGTACAGTGGTTAAGGTGCTTGCCTTATATGTGGCATACCGGGGTTCGATCCTCAGCATGCCATATGGTTCCCCTAGCACTGCCAGGAGTGATTCCTGAATGCAGAGTGAGGAGTAACCCCTGAGCATTGTTGGGTGTGGCCCCAACCCCTCTACCCCCAAATTGTCCAAAATTACAAAGCTAGTGGGACGGCTGGAATTTGAGCTTAGTACTTTGTGATTTCAAGATTAATGTGCTTAATGAATGTACTGCCTTTAAACTAGACAAGCAAGGAATACTTTTCACAAGATAGTTTCTGATTAATAACCATTGCTCCTAATTGTTTACTCACAAATAAGTGGGGTGGAGTTTATGGGTTCTGGTGCTATTATTAACACCCTTTTATATTCATTTTCAACTATAAATTTTCAAAGCACTTTCATGTATATTATCTCACTTGCATCTGAAAATAAGCCAGTACATGAACATATTATTTTCATTTATAGATAACGAAGCTTAGGTACTGAAGGGTACATTGACTCACCACTCCACAAAGTGGGAAGGCTCCAGCTGGAACCGAGGGCACCTAGTTTGTGTTCCAAGGAGATTTCAGTTACTTCCTGCTGAAGTTGGGATTTAAGGACTTTTGTTTCGGGGACATCCCTAACTGTGCTCAGGGCTTACTCCTCACTCTGTGCTCAGGGATCACTCCTGGTGGGGCCCGGGGAACCATGTGAGGTGTTAGGGATTGAACCTGGGTCAGATATAAGCAAAGCAAGAGCCTTACCTGCTGTGTTGTATCTCCAGCCCTTAAGGTCTTTTTTTTTCTTTAGGGGTAGGAGGCATGCCCAGTTGTGCTCAGGGCTTACTCTTGGCTCTGCACTCAGGAGTGACTCCTGAGTGATTCCCGGATTCACTGGAGGGGCTAGGGACCATATGCTTTGTTGGAGTTCAAACCCAGGTCAACTGCAGGCTAGCCAAGAGCCTACAGTGCTATACTATTGCTCCGGCACAATGACAGTTTTAATTATGCTTCTTGTGTGGATTCCAGGAGTGAAGTCAGGATTACTAGATATCAAAATAACACTCAGTTCCCAACTCAATTGCACCCCTTGAATGGGAACTTATAAAGCTGCCAATTTGAGGGGTTGGAGAGATAGCTGAATGAGTTGAGCATATCCTGTGCATGCTGGAGGCAAAGGTTCAAACCCCAGTCTCACAGTGTCCCCAGCAACCCCTGAGCACTGAGCCAGGAGTAGTTCTCTCCCTCACCCCCCAACAGCCCTAGTGTCATTGAGTGTGGGCCCCAACAAATCACAAAGTCTTCAGTTTGG